GCCTTTAGCTTAAATTTGAAAACAAGTTATAGGATGTCTTCCCATTTTACCTACGGTGCGTATGCGCAATATATAAATCACATACACCAATTTATTCAAAAATAAAAAAATAAATATTTTAAACTGCAAAACTATACCTGTTCATAAAAACAAATGAAATAGTTTATGAAAACACCCTATAAGCTGAAATCAAAATAAACTTTTTGCAACTGGACTTACCACCCTCTTCTATGAGAAGCCACGCGCATTTCTATTGCCTACTTTTGCGCTTTTCGACCAGCCGGGCAGCAGGGACTGCAGTGCACCAATTCCCATTCATAGTTCAGTGCCTGGCTGGGACCGGTGCCCGCGGCTGGGAAAGAACCAACAAACGCCATTGCCTCAATCCAGGCTTTAAGACTCATCCAGCTGCCTTTTCCATTTTTCCTCATTTTCCGTTTGTCTTTTTCCTCTTTTTGGGTCGGGATGTGGCCGAGCGGAGCACACGGAGTGACCAAAAGTGCGCCCACATTTAATGCCCCCGGACCGACTGTGGACCGAGGTCCTCCCTGCCCACCGTTTTTTGCTTGTTCTATAATTTTTCCTGTTATTCGCCTTCCTCTACTCTGCTTTCCTCGCATCAGCGTGCTTTACTTTGCTTTGCTTAGCTCCTCTTTGCCATGCTGGCTTTAGTTATATTTTCCGCTTCTTTTTGGAGCCTTGCGTTCGCTTTTGCTGTTTTAGTTTTCTAACCAACAAAACAAATTGAATCACGTTCGCCTGGGAGAAACGTGAGTATTTTATTTTTTTCGTTAAACATTTTCATTTTTCTTCCAAAAAAAAAACGAATAAATGGTGTTTAAGAAAAGTCGAAGAAACAATACCCTCATGACGTAAAAAATGGCAAAAATGCTTCTACTTGGAATTAATTTTTTATAAAAAAAATAACAACATAATAAAAACAAAAAATATTTTTAATTTTACATGTCATTATTTACCACCTTCATAATCTTTTATTATTCTATTACAGAGGGTATTAAAAACCGTTTCTGTTGCCATAAAATCTTAACCCAACTGGGTCCCCTGAAATGCAAGACGTTTTTCCCCGATAATGACGCCGTTGAGCCATCGCATTTTGTTGTTTCTAACTCTGGACGTTGAGTGTTAGCCACTGGAGCATACCATACACAACCACATTGTTATTGCCGTGGTCGTGAGGCTACATTTTGTTTTGTTTATTAAAAAGAGATTGGAGTGCAGAGAGATTCCCATTTTTGTCATGACCGCTGCCACTTGGGCCTACCGGACCCAGCAACCATTCATCATCATTCCGGGCTGATGATTTTATTTTGATTCCGAAACGTTTGGGGATTACCAGGCTAATGATTTTATTATAGTTTTTTCATTCGCCATTTCTCGAAAATTTGATTGATGGTCCTTTGCCTCGGCCTGTGAACACAAACTTCCAGATTCCGGTCTCATTGTCTTGACATTTAAGCGGCTTCATTATATTAAAAGCGAATTAATGTTGTCGCCAAGGAGACGGTTCTTCCGCTGCCTTCGAATTGAAACAAAATTATGCTTCCTTTCATCCGGAGAAATTTTATTTTTAAGTGCTAACAGGAGCCATGAAAAGGTTCCTTCTTATATTTATTTGACAAATTAAATTGGGACTAGAGCAGCTTTGAATTGGATTTAGAAAATGTGTCCGAAATTGAGTAAAGATCCTTTAAATTATTTAGTCTATGCTAAAGATGAAACAACAAAAACTAAAAGGATTTAGGAAAGATACTTTTCTGAGGTTGCTAGGTATACAACATATTCAGAGCTACAAAATATGTGAAATAACTTAAAAATATCCTTTGAACTCTCCTTATCAGCGTCCTGTGACTTGACGCACATTTGTTAATTGGTGTGCGGTTTCTCGAACCTGCGGCCAACACCTAGCACCTTGAGACAGGTTGCCCGCATGTTTAGGGCCCTCAGAGCTTCGGGCCATAAACTAAATAAAGGCCCACAGCGGGACACCAGAGAACCCAGACCAAGCCAACCCCAGGATACCCGCACATTGTTATAATTACGCGTAACTTTCGACAAGTGTCGCCTGGAAATCGCCAAGCGTTCTCATTTCAAGTGTCTTTGTCCAGGCAAAGTTATCCCTCTCGTATTTGGGACACTGGAGGGGAATCCCCCAGCATCTGCGGTTTAATCTTCTTTTAAGTTGTGCCCCGCCCCCTTATTTCGGGGGAGTGGAAGCTAGAAAAAAGATGGCGACACCGTAAAGCAAAAGTTTGCCGCCACTTGTGGGTTGATAACTTAGAACAAAGCAAGTGGGGGGCCAGGATTCTGGCCAGGAGTGGCGGTAGAGAAGTGGACTGGATGGGTGGGGATTTCAAAAAGGAGAGCAATCCTTTGCACAGCTTGAAAATAGTTGGAGTTTGTGAAAAGTCATTGTTACACTGCTGAAGAGCTGCCTTTGGTTTTCTCATTCTGCTCTCTAATTAGTCGTCATTGGCTTGTGATTTGTGGGCGGACTTTCGGGCACTTTCGAAATTGCAGAACCGAAGCCTTGGGAAGCAGAATGGGCTGTTCAACTTTAGCTGCCACAAATTCAACTTGTAATTTGGGCCAAATTTTGATTTACCTGTGAGAGCAAAGGCACTGGTGACAGAAAACAAACAAAGTTTTAAAGTTCTCTTGTTTTTCGATAGTACTATAAGAAAATAAACCTTTAAGGTCCTTTAAAAAGAGCAATAGCAAGCTTAATATTTTCTTTAAACTATATACTTTCAATAATACTTAAAATGTTAAATATTTTAAAAGAATGCTCAGTGTTGAATGTCCTTATTCACGACAAATCTTGAACCACACCTGCTTGAAAATACCACTAGGCCAGAGCTTCTCTCCCATTAGTCGAACCAATTGCCAGTTCATGTATATATGGTTCATTCCGACCACAAGCGTCGGAACTGGCCGCAAATGATTTAAAGCTAAATGAGCTCGCCGCAATTTATGCTGACCACATTAACCATTCGAGGCAGAGAGCAAAGATCCGAGAAAGTATTTAATTAAATTAAGCACAAAGGAAAACACCAAAGTCCGAGCACAGAACACGCTGAACACCAAACACTGAGCACCGGGTACCGGGCACTAGGCGGTCAGATGAAGTTGGCTTCTGCTTTTATGGTTTTGGCCTTTAAAGCAGTCGTAAATCATTTAAGAAAATGGCCATGACGGGTGGGCAAGGGGCGAGCGAGATATATAGAGAGATGGCCGCTAATGGCCAGCGTTTCTTCATTGTCCGAGCCGATCACGCCCGCCAACCACTCGAAGCGCATTAAAATAGACTAAAATGTTCAGCGTTCGGCGGCTTTTATGGCCACTTAATGTAAAACAGTTAATTAGCCCCCACTCACACTCATACACATGCAGGGCGCCTGAATAAGGGAAATGTCCCGGCTTAATGCAAAATGGCCGCCATCATTTTGTTTTCCTTTTTTTTGCCGCCATTTCCTTTTCCCTCTTCTTCTTCTGCTGCTGACGTTTGCCATCTTCACTAGGCCAGGTACAAATGAGGGGGGTGGGAGAAAGTGCAGGTGAAGGGAGAGGGTGTTTGCGGGCAACGAGAATGCTGTGAAAGGCGGAAAATTACTTTTGATTAATGAAGCGCAATGAGGCGGACAAAAAAATCAAATAAAAATTATACGTACATATAGTAAAGGAAGGAAGCAAAAATTAAACATCAGACTTAAACACTCTTTATAAAGTAAAAAACAAAATACATTTTCAAAGCAAAAATCACTTGACTTCAAAGGAGAACTTGAATAATTTCAATCATTCAATAATAAAAATTATTCATCTATTAAAATATATTATAAATAAACAACACGGGGTTACATACAACCCCAATACCGAAAAAAGGGTATTACAAAAAGTTGTCAATCGCTTTCACTACCGGGCTGATGGACTTTTCTTTTTATGACAGGCACCTACTGAGTAGCCCTGAGTGCCATTCAGAAATATAAAAAAGGAAGTGCGGTTGCTGGAAATTAACATTCAGAATGACAGCCCGGACACGCCATGGACATTATTGGGCCGAGCACCTTTGGGTGCATTATTATTAATACCGTTGCACGGATGCTGTTCTTTGGCTTATTTTGACTTATTTTTCCCATGTAACTGTCTTTTAAATTGATCTTACCTTTAATAAGGATGTCAATTTCTTATTTTATTACCTTTATTTTTCAATAAAGGAGGAACAAATTTAAACTTGATACATTTAATTTTTATCAAAATATACTAGTAGACCCCTGATAGAAAATATTACCAATTAAAGATAACCTTCTTTAAAGAAAATTCATATACATAATTGCGGTCATTAAGCGTAGAACAGATTTTAGCAACTTTCCGGAAAATTCATTATCTGGACGATAAGGTCAGGTCATGGCCGAGCCACTGCCAAAGTTTATATTAAGTAATAAACGGTTACCGCGACTTAATTTGCATATTCAAGACGGCAGGCAGCATAAAATATACTAGCGTCCGCCTCAGTTAAGTGGCAGCGTAATTAAATATAATCCAATTAAAAGACTGACAAGTCCGGAGCAGCTTGCGGTGAGGCTTATTAATGGTGGTTTTGGTTAAATATGCTCCGAGCCGTCCTTGGCGAAGCTTTATACGATTTTTAAACAAGCGTTGAACAGAATAAACGGATTTTTATAAGATTAAAGATTAAACTTGGATGTTTAAGAATCCTTCATCGCAATAGTGGTGTCCTGTTTAAGGATATTCGATTGGAAATATTCAATTTTCAAAAATCAATATGTGTTTTTCGTATCCGAAAAAAAACTAAGCCAAACTTAGTTTCAAACTTTTAAATTTGGAATATATTCCTTATTTCCTTATTGTCCTGCGCACTTATTCTAAAATTTTAAATTAATAAGCTGATCCTGCGAAACCGCCACAATAATGGTGAAGTTTAGCTGATGTGGCAACCCATGCGCGGTATTTTCTGCCGCCCAGCTGGTCACACTCAAAGCCGACTTGTGTAATAAAAACAAAATTTCGGTAAATGTTGTGGATTGATTTGACTGCTGATTGAAATCATACTGAAAGCTCGTACTGCTTAAAAGTGTGAGCTGAAGCAAAGGAGACAAAACCAATGGTATGACACTGATAAGCCACTGATAACAATGGTCTTTGACCGATCTCCGCACCCACAACACATGTACGTTGTGGATCTCAAGGCCAAAGATCAAAATAAATTTGCTCTAATTACTGGGATTTTTGTTTTGAACAGAACCCTCGGAAAGTAAAGCTGCTGCCAAGAGTCCGAGACAGCTGTCAACCGAGAATTTGAGACTGAAAAATTTGGAATTCGAAACGATATGCTGCCCGCCATAGTTTTCCGGCAGGTGCAACGTCCGCTGCACCACGGAGCCGCCACCCTAGAGCACGTCCTTGGCGTGGGTGGGAGCAGCTTCGTCAACTGCCTCAACCGCTATGCCGCTGCCACCGGATTTATACGCATCTCCTTCCTGGATATCAAGAGGCGCCGCAATTGGGAACTGGCCCGTCTTCGTCTGTACGCCGATGCCAAGAAGCAGACGCTGCACCTGCGGACCCAACAGGGCCGCCACTTGCTGCAGGGCGTTATCGACAGACAGCGCGCTGAGTTTATTGAGCGGAAGAACTTTCTGGTGGATGACATCCGAGAGGCTCGCCACAAAGTCCAAGAGCGAGTGCGTGAAAAGATCGATGAGATCCGCGAGGAGCGCGAGAATATTATGACCATACCCAATATGCTAACCATCAGTAGGGCCATTCTTTCACCCTACATTGGCTACGTGATAGTCCAGGGTGACTTTACTTTGGGCATGAACTTATTGGCCATCGCAGGCATCACGGATTTGGTACGTTATGTTCAAAACACAAGTTTACAAGTTTTGTTATATATATTTTAACTTTTGTTTATAGTTGGATGGACAAATTGCCCGCCGATGGCCCTCGCAGGCAAGTAAGGCGGGATCCTTCCTAGACCCCATGGCTGACAAATTACTGATGGGCTCCCTGGTCATTTCACTTTGCTACACCGACCTCCTGCCCATGTGGCTTGCTGGCATTGTTGTTTTTCGTGATGTTTTCCTCCTTGGAGCAGGATTTGTCATTCGCTACATTAGTCTGCCACCGCCGGTAGGATAATGAAATATGCAACACTTAAATTATATTTTTAAAACTTCGTTTTCTGTAGAAAACTTTTTCGCGGTATTTTGATGCCACCCATGTTACCGCTCAACTGGAACCAACATTGCTTAGCAAGATAAACACGGGTGTGCAACTAGCTACCATCGGCTTAAGTTTGGGTGCTCCAATTTGGAACTATATTGGTAAGAAAGGATAAACCAAGCAGCTACTGTCAAATGTTAATTTATACTGTGTCTTTTTAGATCACCCTGCTCTTCAGGGTCTTTGGTATCTGACTGGACTGACCACAGCTGCCACTGCTCTCAGCTACGTCATGAATAGGCATAATACGTTTAAGATAATCAAGAAAAAGGCGTAGGACTGGCATTTCCACTTTATTTGAAAATCGATGGGGTAGTTCTCCATTTGCAATAATTAGTATAGATTTTGTTTTCTATGAGAAGCAACTAAAATTAATAAATCTATTTTGTTAACAATGTTTTTATTGATAAAAATAGTACATGTTTAATTATTTTATAAAAAAAATTGAATTTTTTTTTTTAAAAAAGCTCTACATCTGGCAGCCCTTTGACGTTTAAAAAACGCCTTGTTTTGAATATGGTCTCTCTCATCTTTTTTTAGTCCCAAACCGCACTACTTTGCGTTTAACAGCCCTTTATAACATTTAACAGTGCACTGTTAATACATTTCTAGACAATTTTGTTAATTATATTCTATTTTACTACATTGAGTGTCCAAAATTGACGCTTAATTTAATTAAAACTTCGATATTCAATATAATTTAGATTATTTCAGCATATTTTTCCCATAATATAGCAATTTTTCTTCCGAAACTCTGGCAGCTCTGCCTTTGGCTATTCTAGGCGCTTTGTGTGCGTTTGTTGCAGCCACACTATTTTCTTTCTTTTAACCTCTCGTTTCCGGCAAGGTATGCACGAAAATGTCTTCCACGTGTTTTTTGTATTTATTTTGTGTAGAAAATACAATTTTAAAGCGTTATTTTATTGGAAATCGTTTTGTGTTCCCACCAGTTAAACGTGATTATGTTTGGTTTGTGGAAAAACGCAAAAACTTCGACGAAAATAAAAAAGAGCGCATGGATTGGTAGTGCACGGGACGTTTGCCCATGCAATAGCAAACCAACGAAGATAATATTATTTGCTATACATGTGTAGAATCTAGTAGGCAAAGGCTAATAAATATAGCCGTGATTTGACAAAAGCTCTATTTGTCAACAGAAAGTCGAAAATTTCTTTCAAACTAAGTCGCTAACAAACTGTTACAATCTTTTCATTTCACGAAAACAGAAGTATCGAGACAAAGCCGCCAAAATGAGGAAGATCATGAAACAGGGCAAGATCGTCATCGTCCTTAGCGGACGTTACGCTGGCCGCAAGGCCATCATCGTCAAGACCTCCGACGATGGCACCCCGGAGAAGCCCTTCGGACATGCCCTGGTCGCTGGAATCGATCGTTACCCCCGCAAGGTGACCAAGAAGATGGGCAAGAACAAGCTGAAGAAGAAGTCTAAGGTCAAGCCTTTCCTGAAGAGCTTGAACTACAACCATCTGATGCCCACTCGCTACACCGCGCACGACATCAGCTTCGAGAAGCTGTCGCCCAAGGACCTCAAGGATCCCGTCAAGCGCAAGACTCACCGTTTCCAGACCCGCGTCAAGTTCGAGTCTGTCTACAAGGAGGGCAAGAACAAGTGGTTCTTCCAGAAGCTGCGATTCTAAGCCGATGCTCATTATTGTTGCTGGATGAATGTCGTCGCTTTTTTTAAGGATTAATAAACAAAGAAGTAATTCTGATAAAAATGACCGAAGTGAAATGTGCCTTATTTCTGTGTTTGTGTGATTATTTAAAATTGAGAATAATCTTTCTTTTATAATTTTTAGAAATCAGATATAGTAGCTAGATAACCCAGAAGCAATTTCGCAGAAGTCAACTCATCAAGAAGCAGTAGAGAAATTAGTACTTCCAATCGCATTAGCTTTTTCACGATAGAATATCATCGACGGGTATTCCAGATAGTTTTCAATTTATTTTAATCTCATAATAAAGTAAGACAATGTAAAAGCAGGACTCAGGAAAGGCGCCAACTACGCCATCCATGTAGATCCATGATTAATCCCATGAAGATTAATCGAAACTTTTAGTAACCCAACCCGACAGAAAAAACAATTGAAATACAGAGTTGTCTTTGTTTAATTGTCTCTTTTTTACTAATAAATATTCGAACAGAATAATACATTTTGTTTGAATTTGTTTCTCAATTTTACAATTTTTTAAATGAATTAATTACAAATTAATATCGCTTCGGTCGAATCTTGTTGGGGAAAATATTTGTTTCGACTGTGTTCTCTCTGTTATACATGTTTGTTTTTTAAACTTAGGATAATAAAATAAAATATAGGAAATAGAAATAGAGCTCAGTAAAGAAAAAAAGTCAGTGTGCAGAAAAATAGAGCAGGACCGGCAAGTAAATCTGTGAAGACAATAAAAAATAAATTAGCATCTTTGTAATGGCAGTGGATGTTTTAAAACTGAAAAGTAATCTTTATAAATATAATTATAATTGATTTGATTTGTTCATTACCTGAGTTATCACACTTTGACATCGAACGAACACACAATGGACATATAGCCGGGATAATATTGGATTTGGTTAATCAGCGGAACAATTCGACCTCAACTTTATTAAACCGATTCTTTTGGGGCATCACATTAACGCTGAATGCATTGGCTTGGGGGGTACAAGATTTCTCAAATTGGCTTAGTTGTGGGGTTAATATAATTTTGATTGGTTTGGTATTATGCTTAGTTCGATTTGGTTTATCTTGCTGAATTTTGTTAGCGGTTGGTTGAGTGGTTTGTAGTACGATATTGCTTAAAATTGGCTAAAATAGTTTCCATGTGGCCTGCGGAGCGGGTAAGCATTTACGGTTTTGGGGAAGAGGAAAAAAAAGAATATTTTCGATTAGATCTGCACAAGGACTATTTGGTTATACGTTCATAACGAAAACTACATACGTTTGTGTTCTGGAGTGTGTGTGATTGGTGTGTTCTACAGGTGCACTACTTATGAGTTATACAGATAACAGAAGAAGAGTTCAAACAAGCATCTAAAAAACTAGGATGGGTTGTTTGTTGGGATAGGAGTTTGTAAAATCTTTTAAAGAAAAAGTTGATAAAAATTTTAATAAACCTATCAAAACAAAGACAACCCACCTAAGTAATCGTTGTTAGTTGTTAAGTGTAGTCTGAATTGTGCTGGTTGGTTAGACACAGTTAGGCCATAAAGGCAATAACACTTACAGTTCATTGAAGTAATCAAAGTTAAAATAATACAGTAACAGAGCATGAAATTATAATACATAAATCAGGCCTGGTTCGACAGGACCTATAGCAACAGTGAAGTAAGGGGGACAAGCAATAAATGTTTTCTCATTGAAGGACTAAGTAAAAAATACGACACTTCGGAGACAGCGCGAAAGAAGAACATAAAAACTACTACTTTAAATTCAATCGAATATTTTACCAATTCACGCGCTTGGCACTCAGGATTTTGAGTATGTTCTCAACAACATCAGTGCTTGAGTGGTTACCGCCCAGATCTGTAAAAAGATAATACCAATAGCGATATAGATGTGGGTTGGTGTTTGTTTGGTTGCAATATTGTTTACCAGGTGTGCGAATGGCATCGTCGACGATGGTCTGGTAGGTGGCATCATGAATAACCTTGGCGTGCTCCTTGTGGCCAAGATGGTTCAGCATGTCGATACTGGCGTTGATCATGGCAACGGGGTTTGCGATGTTCTTTCCAGCGATGGCGGTGCCTGTGTTTCGGGTGCCTGGCTCGAAGATGGCGTACTAAAGAAAATAAATATTAAACATAAACAGATACCAATGCCAACAAAAAGGCTTACGTGATCACCGTAGTTCCTGCCAGAAATGAGACCAGCTCCGCCGATCAGACCACAGATGACGTTGGACACAATGGTACCGTACAGGTTGGTCATGTTCATCACATCGAATTGATGGGGGTTGGACACGGACTGCATGCAGGTGTTGTCGATAATCATGTTGTTGTGTTCCAGCTCGGGGTAGTCCTTATGAACGCGGTTGGCGACTTCGAGGAAGAGACCGTCGGACAGCTTCATGATGTTCGCCTTGTGAATGGTGGTAACCTTCTTGCGGTTGTTCTGTCGGGCGTATTCAAAGGCATAGCGGGCCACACGTTCCGCGTTCTCCACGGTGACCACCTTCATGCTCTCCACCACTCCCTTGACTGACTCGTGCTCCAGCATAGCGTACTCGCCATCGGTGTTTTGGCGAATCAGAACAATATCAATGTTTTGGTGGCGAGCGGGAATACCAGGATACGATTTGCAGTGCACAACGTTAACGTAGAGATCAAGCTCATTGCGGATGGCCACGTTACGGGAGACTTCAGTCAAGCTCTGGGACTTGGTCTCGATGTTACCCTTGATCGCCACGCCGTTCCTTTTAATGGAAGTGATGGCGTACTCCAAGTCGTCGTTGCCCTCAGTTGAGGGATCGATATCGATTACCTCGAAGTCGATGGGGGCGCCGCAGTAACGGAAAATCTCACGCACGTAGGTCATCAGTTCCGGACCGATGCCACCTCCTGGAAGCATGGTGACTCCATGCCGACCTCCATACTGAGCCGAGGGAATATCAGTGCCCTGTTTGTATAGATAAAGGGATACTATAACCTCAATCACAGGGATTCAAGTGGTTTCTACTCACAGTGAGCTTCTTTTGCAGAGCCGATTTGGTGTGGGCGACATCCTCGGTCTTCTCCTTGGTCACCAGCAAGGGATAGCCCTAAAATAATGATATACACAAAGCGATTATTTTAAAAATCTTACTCCCGCATTATGTAATTTCTATTTGTTGGCCAATTTTCCGGCCGTGAAAACTTACGCGAGTAAGGAAAGGCGTCTGCGTCTGCAGCAATCTCTGAGTCAAGCGAAGGGCCATGATTTAAGTTTCTGAATTAATTGCTTTCAATCAGCTGCAGACAAGTGCTTTCTTTATCGCGAAAATCACGGCCAATTGCGCTTTATTCTCCTTGGCCAAAATTGACTCGTCTTCTTCTTCCCAGACCAAGAACAGCTGCAGTCAGCTGATTGACCAGGGCTGACACGCTGCCTTGTTCATAGAAGAAATAAGCTACATTTGAAAAAATAGCACAAAACTCGAAAATTTTAATAGAATATTTTATTTAAATTTAAAATTGTATAATTAATTTTATCATTTCAACATTTAGGAGTAAAATTCTTAATGTTTAAATCTGCTTATAAATTTGCCAACCTGGCAATACTACTTCCGACCCCCAAACAGTTGTTACGTTAACAACCGCATAGAAAAAGTTTGTTTATTAATTAAATTGTGTGAATATCATCACGGCATGACTTAAACTAGGTGTGTGCCTTAAATTTCTTGGATATGTCGGCAGACTTAGCTCAGGAGACGGCCGGTGGGTCTATGCAGCTTCATGTGCAAGACTCGGTCCCCAAATTTACCTTCCTCCATGCGCTTGTTGTAAGTATCGAAAGTAATTCATACAGAAATCCCAAGTTATAAATTATGTATTGCAGGCTGGGGGCGTGGCTGGCGTGGTAGTGGACATTGCTCTATTTCCAATAGATACTGTTAAGACGAGACTACAAAGCGAGCTGGGCTTTTGGCGGACGGGAGGATTTCGGGGTATTTATAAAGGACTGGCTCCTGCGGCTGCCGGAAGTGCTCCCACTGCCGCTCTATTCTTCTGCGCATATGAATGTGGCAAGCAGCTTCTCAGTTCGGCTACGAATACCAAAGATTCTCCCTACGTCCACATGGCGGCAGCCTCCACAGCCGAAGTGGTAAGATATTTATTCATTTTTGGATTATAGCCTTTTTAATGCTTTGTTTATGAACATTTATTCGATCTCTTAGTTGGCTTGTTTAATCCGGGTTCCCGTGGAGATAGCCAAGCAACGATCCCAAACACTATTGGGCCATAAGCAGCAACTGTCGGCCTTTCAAATCCTGCTGCGAGCCTATTGTACTGAAGGACTGCGTCGTGGCCTCTATCGTGGTTTTGGCTCGACCATAATGAGAGAAATACCCTTTAGCCTTATACAGTTTCCCCTTTGGGAATACTTCAAACTCCAATGGACTCCAGTGACGGGCTACGAGTCCAGTCCACTCTCTGTGGCCCTTTGTGGGGCGGTTGCCGGTGGAATATCAGCGGGACTGACAACACCACTGGATGTGGTCAAAACTCGCATAATGCTGGCCGAGAAAGAAAGTTTGAACCGAAGACGAAATGCTCGAAGCATTCTGCATGGCATTTATAAAGAAAGGGGATTCAGCGGGTAAATATTTAATTAATAATTAAATTTTTAATTCAATTTCGTAATCGGGTAGTATAATAAGTATACAGAATACTGTGACATTCACTAAGCCTCTTTTACTAAGAACAAAACAAACGAGACCGTTGTTACATACATATATGCACATGTCTTATTTATTTATTTATTAATAACATACTTTATGTTTATTATTTTTCAGTCTGTTTGCTGGTTTTGTGCCCAGAGTTCTTTGGATCACCCTGGGCGGTGCATTCTTCTTTGGCTTTTACGATTTGACGACGCGACTTCTGGGCGCTACAAATACTGATAAATAAAATAGGTGTATTTTCGATGTATAGTTTACATGTAACAGAGGCACGTAGTTTTTTATAGTAAGCCGATGACAACCACCTGGAGCACAACGTGGACAATAAAGTTTATTCATGTCTTGAACAAGACATATGTATTTTTTTATGAATTTATGCGATCATTTCGCCGCTGTTGGAATATAAAAGGGGACTACTTAAGGAAGAAGGAATAACACCCATCTTACTTACATCCTCTATGTGCAGACGTCCTTGTAGAAGACTTTCTCCCAGCTCATCCCCGCAAGCCATTGGCACATCAGAGTCCTCTTCGTCTACATTAATGTATCCATTTCTTGGGTGAGCCCTGTGCTTCAGGCATGACAAGGAGCAGCGACAGCGAGTACGTGACATGGCGTAGACCTAGAAATATTCTCAAATACATAAATTAAGCTAAGCAAATGCAAATGCACTTGAATAAACAGACAGCGTCTGTGGCGATAAGAAAAGTAACGCACCAAAGCTGCCAGAATAAAAATGCCAACAAGCACTGAAATCGGCAGCCATATATACTGGGCATCGTCAGGATGTAGGATATCCGCGCCAGGATCAATTGTAGTCGTCTCTACCTTAAAGTACATACCCGCTAGCTTTGAGAAAACTTTGACAAGGGAAAAAAATAAAGGAGTTCGAAGTTAAAAGCCCTAAAGAGTTCTCAGAAATTTAAAAGTATGTCACAGTAGCGTCAATAGTCTGTTGGGGAACATTGAAGAATGGATCATTTAATTGCTTGAAGTATAATAGAAAACTATTATTATTGCATTAAATTAGGGTACTGATTATCTATAAAAGTGTAGCTTTTTTTGTTTTTCTTACTATTTTATAAGGTAGCTTGTTTTTTAAAAGCACAAACTTTTTAAATTTCAAAGCGCGCCAAATTTTTTCATTTTCATATTCCGATATTCCTACCACCAGACGACGCTACCTTGACATTCATCTGTGTTTATTTTCCTTGGCTTTTTCAAAGACTTAACTTACTGTTCTAAAAGACTCAGTCTAACGATAATATTGAACCAAATAATGGAATTACAAAAGCAAAAGCATGGCGCAGCTCGTACTTTTAGGATTCTGAACCGCGTCAGGCAATCAGAGGTGGTTATAGTTCCTGTTGAAAGTGCGTCCCGAGAAGTCTTATGCGGAAGCTTTCCAGTCCTGGATCTGCAGAATAACTGTCGCCTGTGCCTCGAGGAACCCAATCCCAGCCTAATGTTGGACATGTCTGTCTGCTACGACCACGAAGCAGGCTTGAGCTACTACGACTGCTACGAAATTTGCACCAAAGAGGATCTCAAAAAAAGGCCCAGCCACGAGCCCAGGACTTTATGCAAACGATGTGCTGTGGAACTTCAGTGGGCCTACGATTTCCATAAAAAAGTGGCTCTAGCTAACCAGCAGTTGAGAGAGATATTCGAGTCATCGAATCAGGACTCTGCAGAGCAAGAAAAGGAAGACGATGAGTTGGATGAGGAGTACTTGGTGGAGGAAGAGGAGAACGATAGCAATGAGGAAAAGAAAGAGGAGGAAAATGAGCAGGAATGTCAGGAAGAAAACGACCTAGAGTTTCAAAAGCCAGAGGACCTATTGACCCACCAAAGTCTTTCCAGAAAAATTACCTGCAAATTCTGCCAGAAGGTTTTCAAAAATCGTTCCAGCATGGTGAAGCACGAGATAATTCACCTTACCAACCGTCCCCGATTCCGGTGCTCCCAATGCCACAGGGTCTATCTCACCAAGCAGGCGCTTAGGGTCCACGTAGAGGCAAAGCACCAGCAGTCGGGAGCCACCTGTGACACATGCGGTAAAGTCTTTGGCATTGCCAAGGCTCTGGAGATACACAAACGATATCACTCAAAGGATTTCCCCTTCGCCTGTGACCTATGCGATCGCAAGTATGCCCAACGCTCCCACCTAACCGTCCACCAAAACGTGAAGCACAGTGGAGCACGATTTCTTTGCGAATACGCCGACTGCAATAAGACATTCACGTCGTCCTCATCGCTGCGGTATCACGAGGTCACGCATACGGCTATGCCATTTGAATGTGTACACTGCCAGAAAAGCTTTCCAGCTCGCACAAAGTATGTATTTTTCTTAACATGTTTAGGATCGTATTAAATTTTATTATTTTAGACTACGACTGCACCTAAAAAGCGACCACAACCGGATAGTACAGATCGATGAGCTCGAGGAAATGAGGAAATTTCGTGTACCTCGCTCAAAGTTGGTTTTGACAAAAATAAACGAAAAGAAATAGCTATAATTTTAATTGTATACTTGAAAACGAACACTATGTGATATATATAGGTTTAGTAACACAATATTTAAAAACCCCCTTTAATAAATTGTAATAAATTGTTCTTACAAATATCACATACAGTTTATTTTACGCTTTGCTTTGGTTAACTTACACTGATAGGTTAGATATACACATATAAATGGATAGATATTCGATATAGACAAAATAAATGCTGCTACATCTGATTAGTATACTGATGGATCACCCAGATACCAAATGAGCGCCTCAATTAGCTAGCGTCAGTGTCATTGGCATGGCTTTGGCCAGAGCCGTGGAGTCGTCCGGATGGGAGGAGCCAGTAGCGGTCCCCGTCGTCGTGGTGGCCACGTTTCCATTACCCGCCTCAGCCCGCTTTCGTGAGGTGATCTTTTTCCAGCCCCGCAGGAAAACCTGGTTGCGGTACTTGGGAGTAGTAAAGGTATACAGGATCGGATTGACCGCCGAGTTCAGAGGGATCACAAAGACCACCAGCCAGGCGTAGATGTCGTCGGAGATGTTGTAGTTGAAGAACACCCAGATCTTCATCACGATGATGGGCACCCAACAAAGTACGTCTGTCAGGACGATAAAGAAGAACCTCACCGCAAACTCGCAGTCTAGGAGAGTCAGTGGAGTGGCACTTCGTGTCCTCCATATTGAGATGAGCAAAGCCGTATATAACATCGCGATCATCACCAGGAGCATCAGGTTAACGCCCAGGAAAACAAATGCCGAGTACAACCAGCCCAGCGGAAAGGGTTCGTGGATGTGCAATGGAAAGCAGGTGCCAGAGTAGGATCCGTAGTAAGGAAGGCTACTGGAGCGCCAGAGAAGCACCGGTACGACCGCTAATCCTACGCCCGTCAGCCAAATGCAGAGCAATGCCAGCCACATCACTCGGCTTCCGATGCTGCGATGGCCACGAAAGGGGTCCGCAATCAGCAGGAAGCGTTCCAGGGACATAAAGGCCAGGATCAACATGGAAACCTCAGAAGAACTTACAGCCAGGGTTCCAATAACCGTGCACTGCCATGAGGTAATCCAGTCCAGAACCACTCTGAAAAAGAGGATGTAGTTATTTAATATTATTTAAGCTTGAATTTTAAAGTAAACACTTACGTGTAGTACTTGTTCCTATAACGATAGTCCTGCACTCCGATGGTCACCAAATAGAAACCCATTAGCATGTCAGCCAGTGCCAAATTACGGATGACCATCGTCACCGCCATGTTCTCATCCCGGTATATAAAACGTCCCCAAAGGACCAGCACATTGCCAGCTATCGTCAGGGTGGCCATTACCCAAGTGGAATATCGCAGGACAGGCTTGCTCAACAAGTCCTGGAAGGAGCTAACCCCATCGGTGGATGGTCTGCACAGCTTCACCCTCGGGGTCATCGAGCAGTAGAAGAACCGATCGAAGACAATGTACGTAAGATTTCGCATCGAGTTGATGGCCTTGAAATCGATGTTATCATATCGGATGCCTGTGAGGTTCAGAAAAGAAATGTTCAGTGGCTCCAGGAGATTGCTGTGGACCTGAAGGGGCATCTGAGCCAGAGACCTGGAAGGCCAGAACAAAGTTGAGTAAATAACTGACTTTAGGGAAACACATTTTTAAATGAGATGTTTAAGTAAAGAAGTTACTGTATACTTACAGGGCTTCCAATCTGGAATTGTGCAGAAATGTTTCTCCAGATAACTCCTTAATGGGATTACCAACGAGGCGGCTGTAAAACGAAACACACGTCTCAGAATTATTCGCAGATACCACGTTACTCATACGCCGCGTTGCCGCATAATGGCCCGCATGTCGCGCTGATAAAGCCACCAAACGTTAACGCTTTAAAACTGCCCAAAAAAATTATCTCCCTGGCCTGACTTTAAGCCAAAGCCACAGCCAGGCAAAGCTACAGCTTTTGAAAGTCACATAATAAAATCCCGCTTGGGAGTATAATAACGAAAATTCTTATTTAATAGCTGGCTGAGTATAAATCAGCGCACAAACATTGTCTATCAATGGCGGGCTAACATAGATGCAACTGGCTATGGCAGGAAAGAGCGCATCATTCATGGCAGACAGGATATGGCACAGTGGTTGCAGGGCCACTTGAAAAGACTTTACACATGTGCCACTTATATATGCGGACATAACACTAATGTTTACACTCCGGGATTGGGGTGCTTCGGTTCCACCGTGTCACGTCGCTGGGAACTGCTGCAGCTGATGCAGAAGTTGGGGGCTGGAATTGAATCTGACGTTGAGCTCTTTGCTGGAGCTCCATTGCTTGCACTTGTCTGGTCAATCAATGCCGTACCGCCAACCGCCAACTGTTAACAGTTTGTTTTTATGGATTGTCGCACAAAGACAATGGACACGCCCTCCAGTTTCAGCCCTTTGGCGTCCACATATTGCTTGTAATTGCTCGATGGCTATAAAGTGGCAGGACCTTGCTGTCCTCCGTTCTGGGGATTCTGGAGGAAAAGCTTAAACTAAATATTTAACTCGGCCGAAAATTGAGCCACCGAAAATGGGTCGGCCGGGCTTTCAAATTTGCTTGCTATTATGTAAATTTCTAATTAATTATTGAGGGGCAGGCCTTTCGGAGCGGCCGCCTTCATTATTTTTCCTGTGGCTTCTGGTCGCATAAACAGCGTACTTAATAACTCCATAAATATCTGGGGCTGCCAGACAGCGACGAGGACACGACACACGAGCACAATTAACATATTTCTCAGGCCGGCAGGGCAACAAGTTGCTGTCTTTGCTGTCCCTTGATGGGCGCCCAAATAAGCTCCAAATAATGCCAATTTCTCATGGTGGAGCACATCCAGTGCCCACACACAGGCACACACACGTGGCCCACAAAAGTAGGCAATGCAAAGTGCGTCACAAACAAAAGGACAGCCAGAATGGGGCATTCAAACGGTCAATGCGCATTTAAAAATATGACAAATAATTACACTCAGAGTAGTATTAGTGGGCTACGTGCAAAAAGCAAAAAATTATGGTGACCATAAAGCAAGGGTTTAGTTCTAATGTCAAACAGACCTATGAATACTCTGCCCTGGAAAGAATAAAATGACTATTTTATGGTACTTGCTTCTGGAAATACTGGGCCTCTCCTACTCATGTAGAATATTATTGGAATTTGTTAATGGTATATGATAGATGTTCCAACAGACTTTCAATTACATTCTTTTTCTATTGTACCCCTTTTCGACGGAGAGAGCATATTAACCAAATGAAACCATTTACGCTTCCCTTGCAAATGACACGTTTCAACTGTGAATTCTTTCGGGGCAATGTGCCCTGCGGATGTCCTGCGGCATTTGTTGCATAGTCCGTCCGGAGGCGGTGCTGGAGAGGAGCTTATGGTGACCATAATTAACGTCACAGCCACGTTGACCGGACAATGCGGGGACTTGAAGGTCTTTAAAACCAATTCTTTGTACGAGAATCTCTGTAATGACCTGTCAGTGGCTCAGTGGCTTGACACGAGGAATCAAATTAGTGCAGCGATTTCTCAAATATTTTCGTTTGTTTTATGTCCAGCGTGGCTCTGCCGCCCAAACCCCCAGGGATACCGAAAACAAAACAAATCAGCAGAAATTGCTGGAGGAAGACAGCTACATGAGCAGCATTTAGATGCGTATCTGATAGATACAAATACACAGACACCCCTGCCAACGGAATTTCTGTGCAGTTCTTTCTCCGCTCTGTGGCCATAAAAGTCTTACACTTGCCACACAAGCTCTCCGGAATGTCGAGAAATTCCTTGCACGCTATCCACCAAAGGGAAAATTATTTGCATGGATCTGGTACGATGAGGGGCACTCGAGGGGGCGGAAAGGTTACCAAGGAGGTGCGAGGTGAGAGTTGGGAGGTGTCATCAACAGGCGTAAATGATTCACTGTTTTTGGGGGTGATGGGCGATGGAGCTCGATCTAATGAAGCAATGACGATTGGGGGATACCGCCCCGAGTCGATTTCAATAAACTCCTTCATTATTGGCCAACAACTTGGCCCAGAGTTGGTTACAGCTACTGCTTTCTGGCCAAGGCTTTGGCGAAATTGTTTTCACATAAAATACAAATTTATTTGCATTTTTATTTGGTCATAATAATGTTTGTTTATTTGTATCTCTTTCTGCGTTAGCCAGAAGTCAAAGGCATATCATGTTGTCCCAAAAGATATACAATGTTCTGGCCAAAATTCGTTTTTTCTTGTGGTCGGTGTGTGTGTTGTATTCTGAATCTGGTCAAGCCGGAGAGTGTGTGTGTCTGGGAAGGAGTGTGTTATCATCCTTGATATGCTGATGTATATGCTGGCTGGTTTGTAAATTTATTAAGGCCACAGCTTGATGCTAGACGATGGATGTGGATATGGCGGAGACATTTATTGAATATGCCACTGATATATGGTTATGAAAGCCAGAAAGCAACATCAAATTCTTATTTCTGCCACACTGCTTAAAGCGATCAAGCAAATGGAATTTATTTTCCGCCAATCCCAAAGCTCTCAATGCGTTTAAATGATATGTTTTTGCCCATATTATTAAGCGCACACCCTGTTCCTCGAGGCCCATCAAATTTCTTCCTAAAAGCGTTAAATAATTTGTTTCATTTTTCTTTTACGACTTGTGTTTATAGATTGCTTTAGAGTTTCCCATAAACTACATATGACTATAAAGGTTAGATTAGTTGCCCGGGGGCAGGAAAACTTTCCTACATTGTGGGCGGTTTCAAGATCATAAAAATATTTTCCATCTTTGACTTTCTATTTCTCTTTGAACTCCTCCGAAGAGAACAGAATGTTTGGTTATTTTCCCCTAGCACTAATTTATCTGTTTGAGGGCGAAAAAGTTTTCAACTTCAGTTTTTCATGAACTGCGACAACATGGCGTATACGTAATTGCGCATTAATGAACTGAAATTATTTTCATTGAAAATGGTTTGGAATCACAAAGGCTTGAATCACTTCGGGGCGTCGGCTAGTGGAAATCCTTTGCCAAATTATTATTTTCTTATCCTGCCGCTTTGTTCTGCCTTGATTTTTTGACCAGAGACCGAGTTCATTTACTCCTGTCCCAGCATTATTCGTATTATTATGCTAATTAGCTTGGTGTCGCCATAATTCATGCTTAGTGTCGGTGTAAAAGTTTCCCCCATTCCCAATCTGAATGAAATACAATCCGAAATATACTTACATGTCTCGCAGATTCGTTAAATTCTCAAAGGCTAGTCCATGGATGTGGGTGATGATATTGTGCTGCAGGTCTCTATAATTCATAAATATAAATACAATTTTTATTAAATATTACAATTTTTCAAAGAATATTGAGATTGCTAAAGAATATTGTAACCATATCTTAGTATGTAATGTGTTAAAATATTGCGTTAGTATTTATCCTATCTGAAATTCATCGGTCCCATTCATTTCCAATCACTGTAAAGGTTAACACATTTATTTACGTTGTGCAATTTGGCTAACTGATTTATTTTCAGTTAGCAGCAAGGCGTCGGGTACCCAGACGACCCATTGACTTATATTGTCAGCTATTGATGCATAAATTAATGATTATGTACGCTTCGTCCTGACAACGCCATGTGGGGAGGCCTCTGACAAATGCTTTCAAATCGTCTTGGAAATCTGTCGCCGAAATTGTGTTTTGTTTATTTAATACTCTTTCGAATATTTTATAGTTTTTCAATTGATTATCTTTGCGAAAAATAATCATATATTAAGAACACATTTTTTATAAATTTTTCAAATTTTGTGGAGGATTCAAAAAAACCCCCCTTCAAAGGAGGATCCCTTAAAAAATGGGGAAAATGCATGAAGGCACCAAATGGCTCCTAGAGAAGGCCATATCCATACATAGGTATTTGACAATATTCATCCGATTCTAGATCAGAATACCTTAAACGATTTATACATCGATTCTCTTTTAATTCTTTCCAAAATAGACTAAATACTTGAAGACTACAGAATAGTGTATTTCTGTCTTCGACCTTGAAAAATAATCCTATTTCGGTGTGCTTACCCTCCTTTAAATATCTGTTTAGCATATGTTATTTGCGTAAACAATAAAAGTGCCAATTTATGTGTATTGGTGCATAAATTCGGTTGTTCCTTTTTATGCCGGAAAAAGGTGTCGATGTATGGATATTGTTTTCAATGTCATTTCAATAGAAGTGCGAATGGGCGATACTCCTTCTCGTCCTTCTCAAAGGTGCCTACTCCCAATTTTACGTTCTCAGCAACAATGTAACCCACATAAATCTCTCAAAGTAAACAAGTAGACAAAAAAAGATCTACCAAATCGAAAGCAAAATGCAGCGAAGAGTAAAAATTACGCATACGCCCCATAAAATCTAAGTACGGCATATTTCAATAGATTTTTCGACACTTGCCGGCATCTTTTTTGTCTTTTTTTTGTTATTTAAGGGGAGAGTTGATTGTTTTACTTACAGCAAATGTAAATTATCCAATTGGGAAAAAGTTTCCTCGCCAATATATTCAATTCGATTGAAATCCAAATAACTGAAAGAAGAAAAGATAAATTTATAAAAGCAGACGGGTCGGATAAAAAAATCTAGCTAAGCTGCAGGCCTAGTTTTGTTTATATATTTTTGGGTATATCAGTTTAGCAGAGCTTAAGCTTATTTCTATGCTTGTGTGGACAAGTGATGAATGTTTTCCTAGCAGATCAAGATATACAAATAATATAAATACTGCCAGGAATTTGTTTTCAACCCTTTTTGTTACTTATTCAAGTAAACAGCTTTAACATTGTAACCTTAGAGCTTGAGCAAACTCCACTTTGTAACTTCGAATTACCCCTTGCAGACTATGTAAATACAGCAACTAGGACAGCATAGTCTTTAACTAAATCACCTAGCAGTAGTGAGCTTATGGCACAGGACTGTGGAACATCGTCAATCCATCAGGACACCCAATACCCGACTAACCCAAAAAGATGGGTGTGTAACTGCTTTTAACAATGGCAGACAGTGTAAAGCATTTTACGCTTGAATACATCAGCAGAACGTCAGGGACCGGCTTCCCTTTTTAGGATTTAATCTCACAAATAGGAGAGAAGCTCCCCCGCCAGTATTACGACCCAATTCGATTTACTCACACTTCGTAGAGCGAGGAGATTTTCGGCAGCTGCACGTTGCGCAATGTGAGGCGATTCCGACTGAGGACGAGCCACTCCAGGCGGCGGATGAACCGCAGCTGTTCCATGGGAAACTGGCGTAGATGGTTGTTTACTAGGAACAGCCACTGGAGGTTATACAGGCCATGGAACACACCGTGCGGCAGGTGGCTGATATTGTTGTGGCTCACATCGAGCCGCTCCAGATGTTCGAGGCCGCTGAAACTGCCCAGCGGCACGTGTGATATGTTGTTGTATTTAAGAGTCCTGAAAAGTGGAGAAAATGTGGAACACAAAATAAATTGTATAGTAAAGGCAATGTGTTTGCATGACACCAATCTCCTTATTTTGAAGTCTCACTCACAGTTTTTGTAGACGCGTGATATTAGCAAACAGGTTATCCCTCAGAGTAATGTTGTTACGGATGATGATCAAGTTAGTAACCTCCGGACTGATTTTAGGAAAGCGACGTAGCTTGGCAAAACGACCGCAGTAGAGTATGGTTCCCTGTCCGCACTTGCAGAGACGTGGATATGTGGCGATATCTTAAAGAAAATTATTATTGAAAAAATATATATTATTTACCCAGATAACCTGTCTTGGGATTTAAATTCCTTTTATAAGTTTTTCCAAGTGTAACTGATTCCTTCACTTACCACAAGTCTGGCTTAGAATTTGGCTCTGATTAGTTTGCACCACACGCGGTGATAAATCCAGGTTGCTCGCATTGGAGCCAGACAGGTTGAGGCGCTGATTAAGCTGCTGCTGTTGCTTCTTCTCGATGGCATTACGCACAATCTTGTCGGCCATCTCCTTGCTCCCGTAGAGCAGTCCACACTCCACCGGGTGCTCGTCGCTCTTGTCGGCGCAGTCCGGCCTGCTGTCGCATATCTGTCGCTGAGGAACACACAGGGTTCCATTGTCACAGGAGTAACTGCCAGTAGGACAGGGTCCTTAAAGAAGTGAAATAAAATTATTAAAATTATAAAGTTATTTAAATAAGCATTAGTTTAAGTGTTTAAGGGCTTATCGCCACACAAATCGCAACTTCCATGCGGGCATCGCGGCGTATGAGTAATTATTCTAATCGCTGACAGACAAACTTTAAACTCAAGATGTCAACTCGATTTTTGATGTTTCTCTCACTCTAATCGCCACAAAGGACTTTAGCTTATTGTTTGGTTGCTTTTTCCAAGACATGGCAATTAAACTTAATGTCCAAAAAGTTTTCTTCATCTTTTCGTTTATTTTTGAGAGGTTCGCTTTGTTAACAATATGTTTTTCGAGTATCCCAAGTACATGATTCAACTGATGGTATGGATGGAATTAATAAGGCAAAGGAACTAATTTATCAACAAAAGTTTAACAACATATTTCTCAGGCCTTTTACAACCATGCTTAGAAAAGTATGTATTTGATTTCACAGAGATTTCTTATTATTAGATTTAATTCTTCCAAAGAATTTTTTCTGCCCGAATGCCTACAACTTTTTTGGGCAATTGTCGTAAAATGAAACGACAATTCTTTTTTTGCATTTTATCATTTTTACGATTTGTTTGGGTGGCCCCTGTAGTATATTGAGCAATTCAAATGACAAGATTATGGAATATTGTAGTTCATTAGACAAATGAGCGAGTAAGAGCTGTGCACCTTGAGGAGGTTTTAATTCATTTGAAAGGATTGCGTCAGAAGACAGATATTTTTTTGGCAGTTTTCAAAGGAAGGGAACCACGAAAACATGGTCATAAAAACTCCGAACAGATAGATCTTTTAATTGAAGAGGTTTAAGTAAATACAAGCTTATAAGTAAAGTGGTTTTTGGTCGCCAAAATATTTACCAAAAGCTTTCCCAGACAAATCCTAAAATCTACATATTTTTTAACATGCTCTCGGATATATTTATGCATTTCCGTTTCCCCAACGCCATTTGCTTTGGAAGATTACTGCAGCAGCATACTCTTCCATACCATTTCCTCCGAGGATATCCCTACTAACTTCATTAGATAAGGTCGTGGTCTCGCACACACGTTCACCGGCAATGTGCATTAGCAAGAGTTTCAATTTCATTGTGTCTATGACAGAGACACATAAAAAACACAAATCATGGCTCTTCTGGCTTTGTTCTGCCCAGCTCTTCTCTAATCCCATATTCTTGGGATGATTTAAACCTAAGCAGGAAAACAGCTCCCTGGCAGATAAATAATTTCTGGTTTTTGCCAGGGTGATGCATGTACTTTGAATCCGAGGCGACAAAATGGCATAAATCAAACATGTTTTGCCTGTATCAGCCTCAACAGCCTGTATGGCAAATCAATACGCAAATTGGCATAAAAAATGTAATATTGTAGCAGCAAAAAGCGGCGCAAATTTCTCGATATTGATACTCGTAAAACAAGATAAAAGCCTGGCCTGGGCCTGGTCCTGGTCCTAGGGCTGGAACAAGGAACCACAACATAACATGGAGCAGAGGCCAAAAATATATACACTTACACACACAATATGGATGTGCGAAAATTGTTTTTCGCTCAAGACAAAGTTTTCGCCGTACTTGTATTTATTTTTTATGGTCAGGCGTTTGTTGGCTGTTCGGCGTTTTTGTTTTTGCTATTGTATTTTTATGGTATTATACAACAAATTACTTTCAAATACTTTTGAGTATAAAATTTATGGGCATTCTGCAGTTAGGAATTTGATTTGGTTTTTGTTTGTCCTTCAGGAAGCCTTTCCTTCGGCTGCTCCGGGGGTTGTGTGATTGATAAATGCGAAAATCATAAACTTTGCAACTTTAATTCGCAATAAAAAAAAAATTTTCTATTATATAATGTTACTAATATTAATAAAATCTAGACTTCCCTGCCTTTTATTAATTTTTTTGCTGACTAAGTGGTTTTAATGTTGTACCCTTTAAAAGCTTTAAATCACATTGTGTCGATCACTTACCAAGACTCAAATAAAATATGAGAGCGGCCAGGAAGAGGACAATGGTCATCAGGCAGACGCCCACGGCGATGCTCCTTCCGTAGACCATCGCGATTTATCGGTTTGACCAAGTTCGTCCTGTTTTCGAAAGCTTCGCTTATCTAATTAGCTGGACAGCGTGGCTGCACTGGCTCCTTGACCGAGTTCATCATTAGCAGCGCTCAATTCCCACTCCGGCCACGCCTCCAGCCGCCCACCAACCGCAGAAACCAGCGAATAACAACAACAACAGCAACACCAATGCCGTGCTGACTCATTGGGTTTTTATATTATTATTTCTTATATCGCTTCGTCTATTTTTTTTTTTTTTTTGTTAATTTCTTGTCACTTCATTTGGCTAATGTTCCCAGCTCGTTTGGAAGAATTTTAAGTACCAGGATTACACAGCAGATGGAGCGGAAGGATCCTAAGGAGTGGGAAGGATGGTTTCAAAATTAATATTTCGTATGGTAAGTGCTTTCCACTCGGAGGGTTTCGATTTCAGCATTGCAGAAATTAATTTTATGGGATAAAAGTGTCTTTTTTGATGAACATTGAAATTTGAAGTTGTGGGGATTTATTAAACGCCAAGGACACCCAAGGATAGCTCGTTTTAAACTTAACTGGTATATGAAACCTGTAGAGTTCTAAAGACTTCAAAAAAACCTTTTCCTTAAGAGTTAAAATATCAATTAAACAGCAACTACTACAAAATTGTCCTTTATTGGGTTGTGAGTAACAAAAATATATACTTTTATATTAAATATTTGTTTATTATAGTAAATTTATCCTCACACCATTTGAAAATAAATTTATTTTGGTTATGGAATTGGAATAATAGCAGAAATACATATATCCTGCTGATTTCCTATGCTAGTCTGTAACATTAAGTATTCCATCATATGGTTCTATTTTTAAGAAACCGCTTTTATTTCCTAATTTATTCAACACATTAAGCCAAACTCAAGGTTATAAAGTTGCCGAATCTACTTAAATCCAAAATGGAAGTGCAATATGTGACCGGCATTTACGGGCCTTTCCCTTTTCTGAGACATTTCTTCTCTGGCTGATTAAATTTCGCTTAATTGAGTCCGAGATGGGGGTCCCAGGACCTCCTGGGAGGCCTCAAGGTCAGCCGGAGACAAATCATAATTTCCGCAAAAGGTCATCGAGTAGCTATCCCGGCACATTGTCGGCATGGCACGCATGATCCCAAAAGACGAAACAGGGACACTCATTATCGCAATCATCGCAATTGAACAGCATTTGGTGTGGAAAAGTGTCGTAAAAACGGAACAGTTTTGTTCCTTTTTCTTCGCCACGGCTACTCAATGCTCCCTTGACCACTTTGTAGATTGTGTCAGGGCGATAGGACGCGAGAAACAGACCATTTAAATGTGTCCCTCCCTCTTTTTTTGTATTTGGGCCGCACTCACTGCCCTCTTATGTAGGCAATACCCTTTATTTTCAAAAACTTGAACGGGAACTGTTTGAGCCGCGCGCGTTTCCAAAAAAAAGGAATGTTTTGGGGCACTCCTCGAAATAGAACCAAACACTTTCGCGGACATCGGCCAACTGAAGCTGGTGACAGCATTTGTTGCTGATTTTGTTTGGCTCTGCAGAAGAAAGGCGGCAGAGCAGCAGCAGCGCTGTTGGCCCTTCGGGTGTCCTCCGAGGATTCGGGTGGTCGCCGTGGAGGGGTCCTGTGAGCTGCTGCGGCTTGCATTCCCTTCCGAATATCCTCAGCCGCAGGAAACACTAAAGATTCAACTCCCAGTGGCGAACGTTGTATTGTTTCGTTACATCTTAAATAATAAATCAATTATATTCAATTCTAGGATCCTTTTTTCCAAAGACCTCAGTAAAACCACATCCTCTCTTTTTTGAGATTTAAAGGAAAAAATTATAAAATGTATTTATTAGCTAATTAATAATTCAATTAGAATTGTGTCTAAACATTTGTAATAGTTTAAAGTTTATTGTAAAATGTAATAATTATTAAATTGCATTAAGTTGGTGTCATTGAAGTACATTTCTATCAATGTTGTGTAATATTGCTAATTAAAATCATAATACACAGAAGCTACTCTTCGTATTTTGTTATTAGAGTTTAAATCTAAAAAATATTTATTGTTTTTAATGCATCGTGGTTTGCGTTTCGTTATCCGGTGGCTAAGGCTAAGCACTTTAGAAGTGAAGATTTTCAACAAAGCATTGCTAAATTGTTTGCTAAAGCTGCGCTAATTGCTAAGTACTATACGATTTTGTGTGTAATTCGAATTGAAAATTCTATAATGAATTATTTGTGGGAGACAAATCACTAAGTGCACTACTTAAATGTTAAAAAGGCGGTTCAAGTTTCGTTTAGTTCGAATTATTGCAACAATTAAAGTTCCCCTCAACTAACAACTAATGGCGAAATATGGGGCTTGGAAACGGTTTTTGTTTACATGTAGACTAGCAACAAAAATTAAATAAGAGTATAGCACACAAAATTAAAAACAAGGGGAATGTTTTCAGAATATTCAACTACATTAAAGTACAAAATTAAAACAGTGTCGAATTCTTTCTCGTGCATCTAAAAAATGTGTGTCGAATCTTGTATCATTTATCATTGCTTTGAGAGATCCATAGTGTGGTTGGAAAGTAAGATTACTAGAACAATTCTCGAGCACATTGATTATTGTAAATTTGTGAGGACTGTATAAAGGTGTGATATTCATATGGAATCCGTTTTGTGCCAACTCCATTATGCGTTTCCGATATGTTTATCATTTTTGTTCCCAAACATTGTCTTTTTTTTTTAAAGAAATATTTCGCTTTTAAAAGCTCCTTTAAACCCAAACTCCATGAGGATTTTTACTGGTGGGAACTGCAGTTTCTAGCTGTCTAGGCGAGCCGATGATGCGACGACTACTGCCTTGTTTGTTGGGCCCCTCTAACAAGTGTTTCACCTCCTCCGTGGTGGTCACTGTTAGGCTCTGCAGATTCACTTCCTTCATCTCGTTAACCAACTGTTCCACCTGCCTTTTCTTCTCGGCAATGGCATGCTCGATCATCAGGAGTTCCTTCTTCAAACTATCGGCAGTTTTGTTTGAAGAATCGGTACTGTGCAGAGCCTGATCGATCTCGCTTTGTATCCGTTCCATTTCCATCAAAAAGTCTCGCTCCACAGTTTGTCTAAGAAAACGTTTTTGGAATTAATAAAATGCTATAAGAGACCTCAAATATACCCACCTGTTATTCTGCTGTTGTTGCTGCTGTTCCATCTCTATATCATCCATCAGCAGACGCATCTTGTTCTTGCATTGCAGCAATTCCGTCTCGCAGTTGGCCAGCTTGGAACGGAGCAGAGCGATTTCAGACTTGAGCGTCTTTTCCTGTTGCTTGACCAGCTCGTTCTCCTCCTCGACGTACTGGAGGGTCTGAAGCTGTTCGCTGCCCTGCCGAAAGATTTGATCTGCCTTGGTGATTTCTCGAGATATTACCTCCAATTCATGGGCATGGTCGCGTTCTTTGCTTTCCAAAAAGACTATTTCTGAATCGAACTGGAAGGAAAAAAGGGTAAATTATAGAATATAATACTTAAAAATGTTTTATTTGTCGTACCTTTTGGAGTTCCATCTGCTGCGATGTAATCTTCTCCCGCTGAAACTTTATCAACTGCATCAAATCGTTGTACTGCGTGGCCTGGAACATGTTCTCTCCCTCGTCCATGGCCTGACTGCCATTGTTGTTCATGTTGTGGCTGCTGCTTTGAGTACTGTGCTGATCATAGTCGCTTATGAAGGGATTCGTCGATGAGGAAGCATTCGACATAGTGTCGGCATTACTGATGGCCATGCGTTGGCCCTGGCACATGGGACTATTCCTGGGCGGCGGTGGATCACGATATGGCGGCGGTACCAGGGCTCCATTGGCCGAAATCGTTGGTGTCTGTTTGTACAGCTCAGGCGAGTTGTTGTTATTATTGTTGTTTAGGTTGGCATTAGTATTGTTGTTGTAGTACATCTCATTGGGGCTGGAGCGTCGGAGTTCATTGCTTGATTTGCTCAACTGGCTGTAGATATGCTGGTTTCCGTTGTTATTGTTGTAGAAATCATTGTAGCCGGTTGCGGCGGTCGGTGGAGTGCTGCCCGTGCTGGTCATATCCAGCGGGTTTGATAATGATTTCTCATGCTTTGGCACAAGAGGGGCAAGGTTGTTGTTCTCTTGCGTTGGCGACTGCTCTGTAGGAACCACTGGCGAAGAGCTGGCAGGAGGCTTTGAGGTCGGTAGTGGGGGCTGCTGTTGGGGAATGCCTCTGACTATACCAATATTGTCAAACTGTTTAGCATCGTAGCCCCTGGAAACCAAAAAACTCATTAGTAAGGAAGAACATTAAATGCTGTAGTCTCATTCCATTAACTTCTAAGTCTTTAAAATGGAACGAGGCTAGCAGTAGCTTCAAACAAGGTTAATGAAACACACCCAAAGCTCTTTTTCAATTCCTTTGAACGGTAGCTCAGCTCCACGTTCGATTTTTGCTTTTGCAATGTGGGCGCTGGCTTGCTGTTATTTGGACCCAGTGGTTTTTTTGTTGTATTCACAGCATAGTTGTTATTATTGTTATTGTTATGGTTGTTGTTTTGCTGCTGTTGTTGTTGGGGAGTCTGCTGCTGTGTTTTGTTCTCCGATCTCTGCAATATGAACTGAACATCGTTTGCATACTCGCCCCACTTAAGCAGCAGCTTCATGGGATTCTCGTTGGGTGCCAAGTGGCGTTCGTTGTTGCGCCATCGCTCGATCAACGTGAACCGTCCCACCTTGCCCGTGGCATGTGCCAAGGCGAACACCACGTCCTGCCGTAATAGAGATGATACATGCATCATTATTATCGGTAATGAGGCAAAGAATCAATACAAATTACATACCTGGCACGTCGTATTAACTGTGACTCCACACACTATCCGCTGAATGCCCTCAACCCAAACTTTCAGCTCCATTTCGGCTAATTGTCCGTCGCTGTCTCTTGCAGAACAATTATTGCTATTTCTTGATTGCCGCCGCTACCAGAAAATTGCTTTCTTGTGCCGCTCACACGGAATCGGAGTCCAGGCCAGTGGTTGGGGTGGGGGGCAGAACGAGGGGCCTGTTACTGGCTGGGCTAATGATTTTGGCTGCCAAAGCGTTGACGCTCGACTGGCGTTCTGCTGTCGCGCACCCAGCCAAGCGTTGCGACTATCAGGGGCTGTTGATGCACTTTTCCACTTTTCTCTGCTCTGCTTCCCTTTCTTTTGCTAGATTTTCCGATTTCAGCTTCTGCTTCACTTGCACTTATTTACAACAACAACACAACTGGTTTCGAGCTGGAGTGTGTGTATGTGTGCTGGAAAAATTCTGATTCACTTTTTTACTAAATGCGATTTTGGCGTTTTCTTCGGTGCTTCCGGCACCTGCGTTCCGTGCTTGTTTACTTGCTCACGTGCACTCTTTTTGTTGCGGCTGCGACACAATCTTTCCGTTTTTATGGATTTTTAAACAAAAACGAAAAACAAACACACGCATTGTTGTTGGCATGCACTTGTACTCGATGGTGTTGCCAGACAGCAGGTGGTTAATACCTTTGGTATTTTTCAGGTGTGTTTTATTTAAAATTTAATATAGTGAAAAAATTGGTTTCTTTAATTAAGTTGTCTTATTATTTTGTAATTACATTAATATTCCAAAATAGATATTGTTGAACTTAAGCCATTAATGTATAAGTCAATATAATTTAATAGGAATTTAATGTATTTATTAACAAAAAAAAACGTAATTTAAAGAGTCGTTAAATTTATATTTTTAAAGGGTAATAGAAAAATTACTTATATAATTTATGGTCTTGGTTTTCTTACAAAAATGTATAAATTAAAGATATAAAAATTTCTTTCATATTATTGGCTTTCTAGTATATTTTATATCATGGTCATACTGTAATCCCGCCTAGCAGTATAACAGTGTTGGAAAGTTTCTTGAAATTGTAGAGCTAAAAGGCAACCCTGAAAACTGAAAACAATGCAAATAACCTGCGATTGGTCACTCTCAGTCCATCACAAAACAATGCAAGACTCCGATTGCGGGGGAGTGTGAATTAATTGGAAAATAATTATCGTGGCAGCAGTGCTTGGAGGCCATAGTGCAGCCAGGCAGTCCGGGAGTCGACCCGAACGCACCCGCGTAGCAAACAGTGTCCGGGCGCGAGCGCAAGAAACGAAAAGTGACGCCCCAAAAATCATATTGATTTTGGGTTGCAATTGTGCATTAAATATTAAGTGAAAAACGAGGGTTGGGCGCGTGGCAGGCCGTGGCAAATTGTTGCTCCTGTTTCGATACTCCCACCCACTGCCCCCTCAGCCAGCGATCTTTCCAGAAATGCAAGATACAAAGTGGAGCAGGAGCAGGAAGTGAAGCGGATTGGAGGCTGCTCGAAAAAAAAGTCTTCGCTTTTGGTGGCGTCCCCCTGTTTTTTAGTTTGGGGATCAGTGTGCGTGTGTACGAGCGAGTAAACAAACAAACAAACAGATTCTACGAAAATGGCCAACAACAGTCGCAGTCGCGCTATACTGAGCGTTAATCTCGATTCGGTCATGGCCAACGATCCGCTGCGGGAGCTCTTCGAGGCCTGCAAGACGGGGGAGATAGCCAAGGTGAAGAAGCTGATAACACCACAGACCGTGAATGCCCGGGACACAGCTGGACGCAAGTCGACGCCTTTGCATTTTGCAGCGGGTAAGTAGTCCCCAGGATGCGTCAGGATGCTCGAAAATCAGAACAAGGACATGACGAATGGAGTCAGGGACGTCTTTGGTTTGCCAACAATACTATCTACCTTGAGGTCTCTCTTAATCCATTCCAATTAAAATCCAATGGGATTTTGGATAACTGGCACCTTCTTATAAGAATCCTTTTCTAGAAAAAAGGATACAAAAATCCAAAACCAAAAAATCTCGTACATTCAGTGGCACCCCATTGGGTCGGCCGCCCACCACTCCCTAGAAAGGTTGAAGGACACCCCACAATAGCACTGCGAGCTTCTCTTCTGTGGACTGGCCTTGAGCTAGTTGCGCCTGGGTGTGACGGGCGTCATTGTCGCACTCGGTCGGACACTCGCCTGCTCCAATGGCGTCGAGAGTTGACCTAGTTTCCATTCTGCCATTCAGCTCGGCTTTTCCCCGTGCACTGTGTCTCTCCCGTGTGTGTGGTGCCTTCAGTTCTGTTCTGTTCCGAGTGTTTGGCTTGTTTCCGGAACTCTCTCCCTCTGCCTCGCTCTCTGTTGCATGTGCGAGTGTGCGTGTTGCATTTTAATATTTTCTATTTTCGAAAAGAAAATATGGACACAGCTGAGGTGACAACAATAGCACCACACCTGTCACCAGCCACCAGCTACCAGTCACTAGTTACATGTTAATATTTTTCCTATAAGTCTGATTTAAGTCTGGGTTTATATTTTATTACCAAGATATGATCCATAATTGTGTCCACCATAGTTCTCCTATTTTAGGAAGGGGGTTGGCTGCTGAGGACAACTTGTTGGGGCTGCTGCTGCTGTTAGTCCTCCTGCTGACGTCTTTGTCTCAATATTTTTGCGTCTTTTGTTGCGACTTTGGCCCAGTTAACACCAGTCTTCTAAGCCCTTTCCCCTAGTATCTCCCAGCAACGCCCCTTGCATATCAATTTCGCCTTTGGCTGGCAGTGACTTCTTTTTAAAATTAAGCTCTTTTTTATTATCTTGTGGCCTATGATTCACTCGGCGGGTCTTTCTTTCTATAAACTGGTTTTCCATTATTATTTTCTGGTAGTCTGGTAGTCCGTTTGTCACGTTCTGTGAACAAAAAGTGAGATCTCCAAAGGGGTCTGCCACTTACTGGCTTGTTTTCACCTTGCTGGCAGTACGAAATTTTGAACTATTCGACATATTACAGTACCTGTTGCCCCTGCAGCTCTCCCCCCCCAGCTCACAAGCCCCGAATCGTGACAAAATTTTACAATTAAAAGTATTTCCTTCAGTTATTATCGCCTGGTTGACATTGCACGGTTATCTTTGTGGGCTTTTTTTCGGTAAAATATGATAGTTATAAGTCGATACACCCGGCCAGACCTTCCTCTCATATCTCGAGGCACTAAACTGGCTTTTATTGTTGCCCCAAAAATTAGACAACTTAACCTTCGGGCGGGTAATTGCGAATAAGGATCGCCTCAATGGGCCGGCAAGTGCAACTGTCTTAATGGAGTTTAGTTTTCCATTCTATTAATTTTTAATGCAAAACTTTCGTAATTGTGTTTGGCCACAAAAAGTGAACGGCAGTCGGGGGCAGTTTCGCAAGCCACGTTTGGTGGGTGGCTCAACCCTCGAGCTTTTGTTTGCCCAGATTTGTGATTGGCTCCAGTTCTCCTCGCACTTCATAGATCCGACTGATAGTCTCTTGAGTGACTAATCCCGATGACTCAGGGATCTCCGATGGATGATATTTTTAAAAAGATTATTGCCTAATCGGTTCACGTATTTGTTGATGAAATTATCAGCCTTGGAGATATCAGTTTCTGGATTCCGCTTTTGATATCATATTTACATATCCACTGTAGCTTGTGGGTATCTTAATTACCTGTAACCTCTTCACTCAACCCTTCACTCTCAGGGCCGGAAACCCCCAAGAAAACCCCGACCATGACAAGACCTTTCCTCGTCACTTCTACGGCTTGCCACAAACTAATTCGCTTTTATTGATCTTCAGGTTATGGACGCCGGGAAGTGGTGGAATTTCTGCTGAACAGCGGCGCCTCCATCCAGGCCTGCGACGAGGGCGGCCTGCATCCGCTGCACAACTGCTGCTCCTTCGGGCATGCGGAGGTGGTGCGGCTGCTGCTGAAAGCCGGAGCCAGCCCGAATACCACCGACAACTGGAACTACACGCCCCTCCACGAAGCGGCCAGCAAGGGCAAGGTGGACGTCTGCCTGGCCCTTCTGCAGCACGGCGCCAATCACACGATACGGAACTCCGAGCAGAAGACACCCCTGGAGCTGGCGGATGAGGCCACGCGGCCAGTGCTGACCGGAGAGTACCGCAAGGACGAGCTGCTGGAGGCTGCCCGCTCGGGCGCCGAGGACCGTCTGCTGGCACTGCTCACCCCCCTCAACGTCAACTGCCACGCCAGTGACGGCAGACGCTCCACTCCCCTCCACCTGGCCGCCGGCTACAATCGGATAGGGATCGTGGAGATCCTGCTGGCCAACGGAGCCGACGTCCATGCCAAGGACAAGGGCGGCCTAGTGCCGCTGCACAATGCCTGTTCGTACGGCCACTTTGATGTCACCAAGCTGCTCATCCAGGCGGGCGCCAATGTGAATGCGAACGATCTCTGGGCGTTTACCCCGCTCCACGAGGCGGCCTCCAAGAGCCGGGTGGAGGTCTGCAGTCTTCTGCTGAGCCGCGGAGCGGATCCCACTCTCCTCAACTGCCACAGCAAGTCGGCCATTGACGCGGCCCCCACCAGGGAGCTACGCGAGCGGATTGCCTGTAAGAGTGCCATAATCTTAGTGTGGAATTATAGGGAAACCATAGCTGCATAATCTTTGCAGACAGTTCTTAACTAAGCTTAGGCTTAGGCTTTTCTTTATCTTATCTCTTAAAAAATAACGAACATCCCATCTAACCGAATCCATCTTCCTTCCAGTTGAGTACAAAGGCCACTGCCTGCTGGACGCCTGCCGGAAGTGCGATGCGTCGCGTGCCAAAAAACTGATCTGCGCGGAGATTGTTAACTTTGTGCATCCGTACACGGGCGACACTCCGCTCCACCTGGCCGTGGTCTGCCCGGACGGGAAGCGAAAGCAGCTGCTGGAGCTGCTCACCCGGAAGGGAGCTCTGCTGAACGAGAAGAACAAAGCATTCCTCACGCCACTCCACCTGGCCGCCGAGCTGCTCCACTACGATGCCATGGAAGTGTTGCTGAAGCAGGGAGCCAAGGTGAACGCATTGGACAGTCTGGGCCAGACTCCGCTTCATAGGTGTGCCCGCGACGAGCAGGCGGTGCGGTTGCTGCTCTCGTACGCCGCCGACACGAATATCGTGTCCCTGGAGGGGCTCAGCGCCTCGCAACTCGCCTCGGACAACGTGCTGAAGTTGCTCAAGAATCCACCGGACAGCGAGACCCATCTCCTCGAAGCGGCCAAGGCGGGCGACCTGGACACAGTTCGGCGCATAGTGCTGAACAATCCGCACACCGTCAACTGCCGGGACCTGGACGGACGACATTCCACTCCTCTGCATTTCGCCGCCGGCTTCAACCGAGTGCCCGTGGTCCAGTTCCTGCTGGAGCACGGCGCCGAGGTGTATGCGGCGGACAAGGGCGGCCTGGTGCCCCTCCACAACGCCTGCTCGTATGGCCACTACGAAGTGACCGAGCTGCTAGTCAAGCACGGAGCCAACGTGAATGTCTCGGACCTGTGGAAGTTCACGCCGCTCCACGAAGCTGCTGCCAAGGGGAAGTACGATATCTGCAAGCTGCTGCTGAAGCACGGCGCCGATCCCATGAAGAAGAACCGCGACGGGGCCACTCCGGCGGATTTGGTCAAGGAATCGGATCACGATGTGGCGGAGCTGCTGAGAGGGCCCTCCGCCCTGCTGGATGCCGCGAAGAAGGGCAACCTGGCAAGGGTACAGCGCTTGGTTACCCCAGAGACGATAAACTGCCGGGATGCCCAAGGAAGGAACTCCACGCCACTGCACTTGGCTGCCGGCTATAACAACTACGAGTGCGCCGAATACCTTTTGGAGCACGGAGCGGACGTGAATGCCCAGGACAAGGGCGGTCTTATTCCCCTCCACAATGCCAGCAGCTACGGCCATTTGGACATTGCGGCATTGCTCATCAAGCACAAGACGGTGGTGAACGCCACCGACAAGTGGGGATTCACGCCGCTGCATGAGGCAGCTCAGAAGGGTCGCACCCAGCTGTGCTCCCTGCTCCTGGCCCACGGAGCGGATGCCTATATGAAGAACCAGGAGGGTCAGACGCCCATCGAGCTGGCCACGGCGGACGATGTCAAGTGCCTGCTGCAGGACGCGATGGCCACCTCCCTGAGCCAACAGGCACTGAGCGCTTCCACTCAGTCGCTGAGCAGCAGCTCCCCAGCCCCAGATGCGGCTGCATCGGCTGCGGGAACCACATCGTCCTCCTCCTCCACAATGCTGTCCCCCACGACGGAAACGGTCCTCCTGCCCACAGGCGCCTCCATGACGCTCAGTGTTCCCGTCCCCTTGCCACTGTCTAGTTCCACGCGCATCAGTCCCGCCCAGGGCGCTGAGGCTCACGGCGCAGAGGCATCCACCTCGGATGATCTGTTGCCTGACCCCGAATCCATCACGAATGTGTCCGGGTTCTTGAGCAGCCAGCAGCTGCACCACCTCATCGAGTTGTTCGAGCGGGAGCAAATCACCCTGGACATACTGGCCGAAATGGGCCACGACGATCTCAAGCAAGTGGGCGTCTCTGCCTACGGCTTCCGCCACAAGATACTCAAGGGTATTGCCCAGCTCAGGGCCACCACAGGTATTATTTTCTAGATCTTCTAGAAGTCATAAGCTCATATTTCCTGCTTTCATCCTCAGGCATTGGTAACAACGTAAACCTGTGCACCTTGTTGGTGGATCTGCTGCCGGATGACAAGGAGTTTGTGGCAGTCGAAGAGGAGATGCAGGCCACAATCCGCGAGCATCGAGACAACGGTCAGGCCGGAGGATACTTCACCCGCTACAACATTATTCGGGTATGTCGCCCTTCCAGTTACTCCTCTGAATATCCTCATAAGGGATTGGCTTTGTGGTTTCAGGTGCAAAAGGTGCAGAATAGGAAGCTTTGGGAGCGGTACGCCCATCGCCGCCAGGAGATCGCCGAGGAGAACTACTTGCAGTCCAACGAGCGGATGCTCTTCCACGGCAGTCCGTTTATCAATGCGATTGTGCAGCGCGGATTTGATGAGCGCCACGCCTACATCGGTGGCATGTTCGGGGCGGGCATTTACTTTGCGGAGCATAGCTCGAAGAGCAACCAGTATGTGTACGGAATTGGAGGCGGCATTGGGTGCCCATCCCATAAGGACAAGTCCTGCTACGTGTGTCCTAGGTGAGTGACATGGATGGTCCATAAAATCATTGATTACAAAAATCTCATCCATAGGCAACTGCTCCTGTGCCGAGTGGCCTTGGGCAAGTCCTTCTTGCAGTACAGCGCCATGAAGATGGCCCATGCACCGCCTGGCCACCACTCGGTGGTGGGACGACCGTCGGCGGGTGGCCTGCATTTCGCGGAATATGTTGTCTATCGGGGCGAACAGGTGAGAGTTGTGGAACTATTTCTATGGAATGACCTTCTAACCTCATCGTGTTTTTCGTGTTACAGTCTTATCCAGAGTACTTGATAACCTACCAGATCGTGAAACCCGATGACAGCAGTAGCGGGACGGAAGATACAAGATGATGGATGCCCTCTGTCGGCTCCACGCCCACAACCACGTCCCCAGCGCTGCAACAGCAGCCGCAGCAGCAGCAGCAGCAACCACAACCCCAGCAGCAGCAGCAACAAATGATGCAACAACAGCAGCAGCAACCCCAGCCGCCACAACAACCCCGATCGCTGCCGTTGCCGTTACCATTGCCAGCACCACCATCACAACAGCAGACCTCAGCTCCAGTTGCCAAGAAGCTGCATGCCAAGCTGGCAAAGCCGCCGCTGCAGTTGCAGTACCAGCACTATCAGCCCCAGCAGCAGCAAAATCATCACCACCAACCGCAACACCACCATACGGTTGTGACCACCACCCAGCCCGCCCCAGCTGGCGTCTTTGCGCACAACAACAACAACAACTCGAGCTCTGCCAACCCGGGCAGCGGCAATGTGAACAACAATAACAATGACCTGTCGCCGGTATCGAATAGCAATAGCTACTCGTCGGTGGACACCAACCAGACGCTGCTCAACTCGCTGGCCAACCAGCAGCGGAACAATCGCCAGCAACAGCTGCAGCAGCACCAGCGACCGAATCGCAGCCAGAGATATAGTCAATTTATGATCATCACACCCGCCGTATCCATAGATCGGGACTTTGAGTACGAGTCGCCCCTGGACTTTGAAGACTTTGCCAATGCTGCTCACAACAACGGGAATCTCTTTCGGTTGGGATTGCGCCGGAGCGACAGCTCCAGTGACGACAGTGGCCACAGCAGCGATAGCGGCAGCTTCCGCTCGAACTATAATCCGTACTTGCACCACAGCCGCCAGCACTTACTGTCCAAGGGGAATGTCGATGGCGGCGGGGCGAGTCGTCATTTTTACGCCTTTACCTCGTCGTGGAGATGGTGCAGTTTCTTGTGCGCCGCCATGCGGTGTTTTGGAGCCGGTGGCGCCGGACACGGCAATGCTCCGTACAGCAGCTCGCTGCAGCACCACCGCTTGAGGCGATGCTCGTCGTACAACGCCGAGAATGCGTACGAACATTTTGCGGCACCGTTTAAGGCGCGGAAGATGCGCGATCACATGAACAACATCACCTACGAGTTGTGACGGTGGTGCCACGCGCTGGTGGTTATTGATCTCTTTGTCTCCGTTGGCCTCCCGACTCTTTTATTACAATTACTAGCTATAGATGTCGTGTCCTGTGTGTCTCTTTCTCTCTCTCTCTCTCGTTGTTTATTATTACTCCACATGAATACAGATCGCGGCGAGCTAACGAGATTGGTTTGAATCGGATTGCATTGGGTTAGGATAATCGAAATTAGGAAGCACGGTTTTCGAGTGATTTTAATTGGAAATACTGAACAGAACAACCGAAGGCAGAAGAAGCGATTATACGAGCTACAAAAATTCTATAACGATAATGCATTACATTACATTATATTGCGCTCGCGCGTTTAATTGTTTAAGCTTAGTTAATTTAAACAAGAATTAAAACTCCAATTAAATTTAAATATACATAAACATATACATCTTACAAAACAAAACGAAAGCGAGTGTTTTTACTTAAACCTTTTCCCAGTTTTTGAAGATAAGTGGGTTTATAGGGGTTTTCTTTGTTAAGGAAGTTTTCTAATTTACTTATAGGACCTTAAGGCCTTTAACACCAGATTCGGAATACATACTGAAAGCCATAAAGGTTCAATTTTCCTAATTGCAAAGTTTGAGCTTTTTGAATGTGCGCGCCAAATAGTTTTCATTCCTATCCAACAGATGGCGATATTGGGGGAATGATGAAATGGAACATTGCATTATTTTGAATTATTTTAATATTTCTTAAAAAATATTTGTTATGCGACGATTTAAAACAAAAAATATAGTCTCAGATATTCTAATTTACTTTCTTTTTGGCAGGCCAGTCCTATACTTTAAAAAATTGTAAGCTTTGAATTTAGATTCAGCGGGCAATGTGATTTCGGTACCTTGCAGCACTGCCACGTTTCCGATCCTACGGTCATACTTTTCCTATTGTTATTGTTGCGCCTCATCGTTATTAACTTTAAAATACAAATTTAATATTAACAACCCACAAAATGGACACAGTTAAGGAACTGGTGCAATTTATGCAACCCAATCAACGACTCGACCTCAAGGCGGTGGCTCTGACACACGTTTTGGGTGAGTTTGGGTGAAAAAAAACTTAAAGCGTTCAACACGTGCGTTTGTTTTTTGTCAACAGTGACGTCACAAAGCCGCAAACTTTAACAAATATGTTTTATTTTTAGGTTTAACTGGCAGTGCTGAGGGAAAAGAAGCCATACTTTCCTTAGATGATATGCTGTTGGCCATTTTTGGGCTTACATATGATGACAACCACACAGTGGCCAAGGATGCAGTACTGAGTCTGATAAACTTAACGGCCGAGGAGCAGGGAGCTGTTCAAGTCTTCGAATTGGCCAAGAAAGTGCAACCGGTGGGCTCAGTTTTAAATTATATTTTCATAGATAATATAGTAACTATTACTCTTTCAGACCTTCGAAATCGTAACTGTCGCTGCTAAGCAAATTTGTGATGAACAGTCCGATCTAGCTGATCCTTGGAGCATGGTTCTCAGCAATCTTACACGGGTAGAGTCACTGGTCCATGAGATTTTGGCTATATTAGAGAAAAGTGAGCAGACTCTTCCCCGTCTCGCCAAAGCTTTCGCCCAGTTGGATTACAATAAGAAGAAATCAAAGCTGCATTACCTCGCGCCCATTTTCTGCAACCTAACTCAGGTACCGCGCGGTCGGGAACTGTGCTGCCAGGCACGCTACCAATTACTGGAGAAACTGTTGCCCTTTGCATCCTTTGAGGCCAGTGTGGTGCGACGTGGTGGTACCATCGGTATCCTTAAAAACGTTTGCTTCGATGCCGTTTACCACGACGTGATTCTTAACGAACAGGACAGCATCCTGGTGGCTATTCTGCAGCCGCTCTGCGGGCCGGAGGAGTACAGCGATGAAGACAATGAAAAGTTACCTATCGAACTACAGGTAGATTTTTGTTATTCCTTGTTGGGAATATGTTTTTTAAAAGCCATTTGCATTTTTTAGTATCTGCCTGAGAGTAAAACGCGGGAAGAAGATCCGGATCTGCGAAAAATGCTGCTGGAGTGCCTTCTGCAGCTGTGTTCCACGCGTCGCAGTCGAGAGGTGCTGCGTGCTAAGGGCGTCTACGAGATCCTGCGCGAGTACCACAAGTGGGAGGCCAAAGTTGGCAGGGACAGTGATTGTCTGCTGGCTTGTGAGAACGTAGTTGACATTCTGATAAAGTTAGTACTCAATATAGTACCTTTTATATCCATTATAAACAATATTTTTTGTTGTTTTTAGAAAAGAAGAGGAGATTGGACTAGACAATTACAAAACCGAAGTCGAAGTGCCCGCCGATCAGGCCGAAAAGTTTGTCCAGGAAGACGCCGCCTATGTGAAGACCCTGCTAGATTAAAGACCCACATCCCCAGACCCTTTCTTGTTTGTAAATATGTGTAATGTTAGTAAAACTCGTAGACTATATCGAAATTTCAATATATGTATGCAGTTTTTATTCAGAAATGCTGATAGTTCATTTGGTAATGCTGCCATTGCCCAAAAATGTTGCATTAGAAAAAGTTGTACGCACGCATTTAAATGCAAGAGAAACAATTTCAATTTTAAATTTAATTTGATTAGTTCAATTAGCGTCGTTATCTAGATTATCTAATTATCGTTAATCCACCCCGCTGCGCCTCGATTGTATATGTATAAAGTTCTCCTTATGTGCTAGATACATTTGCATTCAAAAATGTTTAGCAATTGCCTTGCCATGAAACGTTCAATGTATGTACTTTTGTGTTCTTTTTACAAACTTTGCTTGGTCGTTCATATAGTGTTTGTGTATGTCTGTGAGAGATAGAGTTGAGAAAGGACTTCCTCGATGAAGTCCTGATATCCAATAAGGTGCGTTTTGTGTTACTTTTGATTAGTTTGCATTGAATTGTATTGCAAGCTTAGCGATTTCAGCAGAGAAAAACTTTGAATTATCTGATGTTGTATGTTGCTTGTATGCTCCTGAGCAAAAACCATTGAGATTTATCAAAAACTTCTCCACTTGTTTATACATAGTTGCGGAAACCATTGCAAGCTCGCTTAGTCCGTAAAATAAAAACTAAATACGAACAGTTTGAATTGAAAACCGATGCAAGTAGCTACGAGTAACTCGCTCTTGCAATTATTAAATGGTAGCCTTGCTTTTGTTTAGTTTTGGTCCTATTGGTTATCCTTCCCCATTTAAAAAAGGTAGTTAGACTTTAAAACTAAGTGTTTAGGATACGTGTAATTAGCGAGTTTAGAACGTAGTCGGTAATGAGTGATTTTACTTTAATTACTTGGTTTTGTTAACTTAGAACTGTTTCCTGCATAAAGGGGCGAAAAGCGAAAACTGCCAGCTCAAGAGTCCTTGTTTTATGAGGAGTCTACAGATAATTTGCCCCTCAAGTAGGATACCTAAGGTTTGCTAAAAACCTATTGATTTTGTGACACTCCAACCACTAAAAACTAAAAATAAATAAGATAAGGTCGTGGAAATTTAGGACCAGCTATAAAGAAAAGATTAGAGCACACGAGCTTCTACAAAAAAAGGTGTCGAGTTTATTTGTGATTAACAGGTAACAAGCTGAGCACTTATCGCGCCTCCCTCAGACGGGACAGAACTTCGTAGGCGAAGATCTTCACCTCCTCGGAGTCGTACGGAATGTAGAGGCAGCCGTGGGATGGGTGCACCTTGCCGACAGTCAGACTGCCGGCGTGGTAGCCCCTTCCGGCGTAGAGGGTCTCGCCATCGACGTTCTTGCCCACCTTGACGGCTCCGGGAGGAACCTCGCCGTTCTCGGCCGGCAGCCACTCGTAGTTGGATCCGCTCAGCACCTCGTAGTTCTCCAGCTCCACCTCCTGATTGGCGTAGGCCACGTAGGCCTTGCCCTTGTTGGGAATGATCTTGGCCGGCAACATATCGTTGCAGTAGAAGGCACGGCCGATGAAGATGGTGTCACCGTCGGAATCATGGCCAGCAACAACAGCTGCCTGGGGAATAGCCCCGTGGCTAAAGTGAAGCCAATTGTGTCCTAAAATGGATCAGGATGCTTAAATCCTTCGCTATAGAGCAATGATCTCCTGCTTACCGTCCATGTTGTTCGATCTGCTAGAATGTACTGAGTAGCTCTAATCGGAAGCGGTATTTCTATGTGGGTAGAGCTCACCTTATCGGGTTAACCGGCATTGGCCAGATAGCCAATCAGCTGGTGAATCAACTGATCAGACCGACGGCAACAAATAGCCGACCTATGTCTGCATACAGAAGTCTATAAAGCGCCGAATTGTGTCATTTATGGCCGGCATTTATGACTTGATTTAGAGGCTTAAGCAGGGCCGGAATTGGGTGTATTTTTAAGTTATCAGAACTATTTTCTTTGGAAGAAAATTGTTACTCAGGAAAGCACTTGAGAATATAGTTGCTTCATTTAGTTTCAACAAAATCAAATAATCTATGAGGGTTTTGACTCATTGGTGTAATAAAAACATAAAAACTGAAAAGGATTTAGAAAAATGTAATTCCAAAATGAAAGCAAATATGTAGGCACTCCCCTGGCTCGCAGTTTTCGTTTGCTAATTTTACATACTAATTCATTTACACACAATTACTTTTAAATTTATAATTTGCCCAAAATTCAGCATTCTTTTAACAAATAGATAAATATTCTCTTGTATATGTACAATACTCATCTAGAGAGGCGAAAAATACATACTTATTCGAGTTAAGGTAAAACAGATCGTATATAAATCGTAAAACATTCTGCCTTCGTTAATTTATAATATTGTTCCATCGAAACTTAGCAGCGACAGCGTTTAAAGTCTAGGTTCGTTTCTTAGAGTCTAAAAATAATTGCAGCTAGAATTTGAATTTAGGTTGCAGTGTGTTCCTTTGATTTTCGACTCTCGAATGCTTAGCATCTACATAAATAGTTTTCGTTCGTGTTCATCAATTATTGTTAGATAGTTGTTAAGTATTCATTTATAAATCACATAATTGCTTGATGAATTCCATAATGTTATGTGTGTTTGTGTTTTTATTTTGGTTTAGAGTGTGTGGTTGTGTCCGCGTGTCCTTGCTGCTTTTGAAGTTGCTCTTGTGCATTATTGTAGGTGCAATCTTAGACACTGATAGAGATTGGTAGAGAGGAGAGACGCCTAAAGAAAAGATTTCCACGCGCGCAGCCGACCTTAACTAAATGCTTTTCACGCTGCCTCACTTCGTTTTCCGCATTTCCCCCATTTCCGAGAAATTCCTCCGCTTACTGATACTGCTACCTGGCGACAGCCAAGAAAAGCACAGCCAGGCTGAGCAGGTGCCGCATGAGCGACTCCAGGTCCGCGGCGTGGTGTCCGTGCCTCTTGGCCGAGTTACAGGCATCCGCGTCGCTGCAGCTCTGCAGACATCCGTGCACGTACCTGTGGGGGTGAGCCAGAAAATATTGCATAAACTTATTAAAATTACACTTCAAGAAATTTTAAAAATAATATAACATAATAACTTTCTCTACAAAAGCTTAAACTATATAAATATTTCTTAGTGTAGTGACTAATGGGCTTCCTCACTTATCATCGTAGTAGAACTTTCCGCAATGCGACATCCTTATTATTTCGGTGTCGGTGGTCAGGGTGCCGCTGTCCAGGGCGCAACCCCTCACCGTTATCGTCTCACCGGTTTCATCTGCGGGTGAAAGGGGTGGAAGGGTGAAAGGTAAAAGGTTAGGCACTTGCTCATTCATCAGCTGGTTGCTACACTTACCGTAATAGCCGGCGATCTTGATGCAGGCGGTGGCCGGAAACAGGCCATCACGGCCCTTTCGTCCTCCCATGCAGGGCGACTCGAGGATGGCCGTGGAGTAGTTGTTGTGGAACGGATCGTCGCAGGCTTTATTCGCTCCATTATAGGACACGCACTTGAAGCAGTCTATGCAGTAGCCTTTGAAGGGAATAAGTTATCCCTAATGCTTCAGCAAAAACCCTTATTCTACTCACCACTCCGGATAAATAGGCCAAGGAGCAGGGCCAAAATGGCGACGGTTTCCATAATTGAGCTGGACGCCGCCATCCTTTAATCTACCAAGACTCACGCAGGATTCAGACTTACAGGTTGACCGATTTGGGGCATTCCTTGGGCTTCAATTCACGCTGTTCCTTGTGGGGTCCTGCAAGGGGAAGAGCGATTCAAAGGGATTAAATTTAACAAGCGAATTGAAGCCTCTTAAAAGTTTTTCGATTTTCCGCTGAGATCTTTGGATCAGCGGTGGAGACCTCATAAAAAAGTTGAAGCCAAACGCAAAGGAAAGCATAAGCGAAGGCAATGGTCATAAAAATTATATTCACAATCCGCAAAAATGCAATTCCAGAAAATGACAAAGAGGGTAAGAAGGACAACGGCAGTCAGCCAAGAAAAATTAAAGGTAATAAATTGCACAACAGCATTTTTGACACATTTCATTCCCACACTCCCAGTTGCCGGTTTCGTTTTTTGTTCCATATTTTTATTGCCGAAGTGTAAATAATTGGTTTTCAGTCGATTCTCGTGTCGAATGCCCGCCATGTGCTCTCCGAGCTTTTCCCGCCCGTTGCCACCAATTTCTGGGGTGGCTGGTTGTTGTTGCCGCTTTTAATGGCCACTTCGATGGCCCAAGGTGTTGTTGGGTCAACTTTTGGGGTAGTGTTTTTCTTTTGTTTCTGTTTTTTGTTTTTTTGGTTTATTTGGGGTCCCTGTTCCTGGGGCCAGCTCGAATTATGACAAATGATTCTGACTTACGGGCTGAAACTGTAGCTAAGCTTTTGAAACACAATTTATGGGGCCAGAACGCGTGTGGCTTAAAGCGAACTTGGGCGTGACCCATTTATGGCTTTAAAGTCAAAGTGGCAAAGTCAATGCAAAATTGCTCCGACAGCTTAAACGACCATGGAAATCGCTTCAATAATTCTATCAAACTTTTCCCACTTTATTTGCCAACCACTGGCAATCAATTCAAACGAATCTGTCATCATGACGGATAAATATTATCGTTGGAGGAACTGCAGCTTGGCTCTGGGCTATGGCCAAACCAAATAGATATAGCCATCTATCACTCGCCGCTTTGGGGAAACAGGGCTCGTGCCTCTGCGGCAGCTGCGGATCAATATTTATTGCAAATTATGGCACGGACACACACTTTCGGTGTGGCCCACGGGGCGTATGTGCAACAACGGGGCTGCCCGAAATAGCCGCAAGTACTGTGCATTAATTATGCGATTTTGAGTGTTTCTGAGTGGGTGTGGGGTGTCGGATGGGTGTGGTTGGGTGTTGCCCCCAGAACTGCCAACGGAGATTTGTGGTTGAGCCTGTCGAACTCTGCCATTTGTCTGTGTGTGATCCAGTAATGTAATTAAGTTTCGTCATTAAACGGACTGAGGTAATGCCTGCCAAAAACACGCAATAAGACAGGCACATTAAGGTGAGAAACAAACCCAATAAACTTGGTCCGCCAAGAAATTTATAATTAAATCCCTCGAGTTCCAATCAGACCTGAGACTGCGCGACTGCCAAAGCTATAATTTTGTGGCGCATTTTCATCTATTTGCAAATTAGCCACTAAGCAGTCGAACGAGCTGCCAAACACATTGTTCTCCTCCTAGCCAATTTCCCTTTGGATGGAAGCCAAGTTGGCCGGAAACGGCGTTCGCTGCCAGTGTTGACGGAAACGGAAGCAGCTTCCCCGTTCTCCGTTCGGCACCCCTTATCGCGACTTGTCTTCTGCCAAATGAAGTTTACCTTTTGTTCATTGTGTTTGCCAGCTTTCAATATGCATCACTATACTTCTGGTATCTGAGGCATAAACACAAATGCACGGTAAAAAAAGTTGGTAATTTTATAACTATTTAATGGGCTTTTTTATATAATTAGAAAGAATGTTTAACAAAATTTTATAATAGACATTGTTTATGATTTTTAGAACCCATTCAACAAGTTTAATTAATAACTCTGATTTATTTTCTCTGTACGGACATTGTCTTTCATTTCCTGCCAGGAGGCAAAGTGGCCATTGTCCCCATTTAATGACCTTCGGTGTATGGCAGGAGCAGGAGCAAGAACAGCAGCAGGACCTGCTTGTGGCCTTTGCTCCTTTGCCGTACTTACTTAATTTTGTCGCTCCAACTTGGCCACAATCGAATCAGCCACGAAGGCAGCCAAGCGGACAGCCGTCAACTTCCTTTGGCAGCTGCTGGCAGAAAAGTTTTATGACAAAGCCGAAGGCAGCCAATAAAAAGCCTGGCCTGGGCTGGTCTGGTATGGCCTGGCTTGAGTAGAAGTATGTGTTCGAGCTGGCAAACAATTAAAAGCCTTTGGCAGGACGTTAAATTAGTCTGCCCTACGAAATTGAAATCTCCCATACCAGACCAGACTCGGAAATTTTTTAGAATTTTTAATAAAGTTTTTGCAACCTAATCGCGTATTCATGGACCCAAGTTTGCCCGTGGCGCACATTAAAAATGAAAAATGAAGGGAAAGTTATCCCCAGATCTTCTTCCCTTGACAAAGTAGCCCGCTCAATTGTAGGCCATTAATTTCTTAATCTGCCTGTAAATGGCAACCCAGGCCAAAGTGGAGTGTGGGGGTCTCATTAGGCTCGGGGTCAGCTTTGATTGAGCGACAAACACCTAGAGGAACGTTGGGGAGCTCCATGCCAGTACATGGAACATTTTCTGGGGTGCCCTTTCTGGATGATCCATTTTTTGTCTCAACTCGAAATGATTTATTATGAGATTTTGTTTTTTTGGATGGGTTTGAGGCTTTCTCTGCCATTAGGTTACAATCAATCGATGTAAGGGGCCAACGCATTCCGCCTCCTGCCGATGACTGATGAGGAATTATGGTTATTTTTTGTCCAGATTTCAAAGTCCGAAATTTGTACAGATTATGGTAATTCAAGGAATCAGTTAAAAAGTAAGTTATCATTAAATTTTGGGTTCATGCCGTAAGGCACTTTAAAAAGTTGGGCTTGTTTTTGACAAGTGATTGGCCTTTTTTATTCCATTCCTAGTACTGTAATCCTGGGGTTTTGGGAATTGTAGCTGCACGCTTTATGGCTTCCGGGACACTCGAACACACCTAAATGGCAGCTCACCTTTAATTCGGCTGCACCAGGTGCTCTCGAGGGAGAAATTAATTTCACGCATCGTCCCCGCACACACACAGGACACACTATATAGCACACACACCGCCGCAGGCAGTGGCACACAAAGTCTCATTTGAGTTGAATTTGCATAACTGCAGCGTTAGAGCAATTTTGGTGGGGATGGAAACTGCGAATTTCGTTTGCAATTTGCAGCTGCAGTTGGGCGGAATTGTGCAGTTGCAGTGCTCCGCGTTACCATAACCATAAAGCAATAAACTCCAGCTGCTAATCTAAAAAAGTTTACTTGAAGGACCTTCCGCTTAATCGAATTTAAGAAGACTTGAAAATGAATTTTAAATGGAAATGGTTAAAGTTTATAAGAAAATGTATCTATATATGAATCTCATGCGCCACACTGTACATTCAACAACTGTGCCACGTTTTGAAGTTTTTTTTCCAGCGAAATTGGATAACCAAAAGTAAAAATTCATAAAAGAAAAATTGTTTTGGATGCTGCCTGATAAAATTTGATTAAAAATTGTTGACTTGTTTGCTTAATAAGGTTTTGGCTTTATAATAGCAATTTTGCAAAAACTACTCAAAATGCAAATTGAATCAATTAAGTTGGAAAATATTTGAATGCTCTAGCCAAGATGATGGCAGCGTTTAAGTTTTATGCAGCTTGTAATTCATAATTCCGGGGCATGTGCTTTCAAGGCCAATTAACTTCTAACGACCTCCACTATTTATGGGCCGTGCTCTTTTTCGGGGAACCTTTTAACAGCCCTCAGCTGAACTGGGCCGGAATGTTCGGGACACACGCAAACGCCAACCAATGGCAAATTGGTCACCGGAATGAACGTCGATTTATGTCCGGGTCAGCCAAAGAGCTTACATTGATATGGGTCCCATATGCGTGACAGAATCCGTAAGTGGGATCCGGGGCTTCGGAGCTCCGGGAGACGTTAGTGCCATGCTCACCGTCAGTTAAGTGTTTAAGCATTTTTGTTTTAAGCTTTTCAATCAATGGAACTGTCGTTCGAGCCAATTTAAATATTTTTTCAACAAAGTCATGGCAGAAAATCATGTAAACCTATTAGGCCAGAGCCCAAACATTGATTCTGGGTAAAAATGTGTACGGAATTTACGGATAGAACGTAATCAACCATGGAGTAAAAAATATTAAAGCCACAACTTTTGATTCCAAATAGCCACTTCTCTTCCAATAGCCACGACTGAAGATAAAACTAAAAGACCAGACAGACTGCAGTGAAGTGGCTTTTCCCCGGAATGGAAAACTTTTTGAGATTCATGCAAAATAGCACAGTTCGAATCCAATACACTCAACTGGGTACAGTGAACACCCTCTTCCTTTGTGTTTTTCCTGGCAAATGGCGAATGGGTTGAATGGCCAATGTGCCACCTCCACAGCCATTGACATCGATTTGAGATACTCACAAGTGTGTGTCTATGCAGTGTTCAATGACTCTCGACCGCAATTGTTGAGCATCCAACGTGGCTGCTCCTTCCAACTGCTCCTGCCTGATGCTCATTCCCGATTCGTCGGGGAGGGCTTTTTATAAGCTGGGTTTTCGTGCTCACACGCTTGAGCGGTCAAAGGGAGCAGTCAACAGGTGAAAATCCCCGCCCTTCTAATGAGCATCTGTACCTGTATCTTGGGCTCAACTTTGTCAGACTTTGATTAAGTTAATTGTTTTTTAGTTCCTTTTGCGGCCACTCAAATCCCATCTGAAAATGAAGACTGAGCAGAGCAAAGCAGAGGCGACACACTTGAGCTTATAAGTTACAAGGCAATCTAAATTTTTAAACAATTCCATGAATAACAAAATAGCAATCAACGCTTTGTTCAAAAGCAGACCAAGGCCAGGAGGAAAAGTTGTATATCTTGGCTCTTTCCGTGTCTGTTGCAAACTTCTGCTTAAGAAAGTCAATTTAAAGTTGAATTTGGGCATGTGTACTGGCATGACTGAATGACATATTAAATAACTGAGTGAGTCGTCTCCCCAAAACCGACGAAAGGGAAAACTTTT